ACCAGGGTGGTGCTGGAGAAAATGGAACAGTGACGGGTAAAGCTTGCCCAAAAGGTCTTTATGGGACCTTTTGTGAGGTACTCTCTCTCTCTCTCTCTCTCTCTCTCTCGCACACACACACGTGCACTCTTTGTAAGTCTAAGTAAGAAATGAGTCGTACGGTAGGCAGTGATATTATAGCACTTTGAATGTTAATGATCGGTACTCTTATTTCTTTCTCTTTTAGGCATGTCCAGTTGGCACTTATAAGAATGCTATTGGGTCAGATAGAGCACTTTGTCATCATTGTCCTGCTACTGAGCTTCCCCTTCGTGCAATTTATATATCTGTCCGAGGTACTTCTATAACATTAGTGATTTTTTACTTTATTAGGAGCTAGAATGCCTACTGCTTTTGAGTTTCTAATGGCATTGCGTCCTTTGATTTGTAGTCTGTTGAATTTTGTCTCCCGTACCCTATTAGTCATTACTTGTGGAAATCACGTCCAAAATGTTTGCAACTTCTGGTATCTAATCATGAAACCATTCTTTGTTCTCTTATCAGGTGGTGTTGCAGAGGCTCCTTGTCCTTACAAATGCATTTCAGACAGATATCACATGCCACACTGTTATACAGCTCTTGAAGAATTGATTTACACATTTGGTGGGCCTTGGCTGTTTGGTCTTCTTCTGATTGGGCTCCTCATCCTGTTGGCTTTGGTGCTCAGTGTTGCACGTATGAAATTGGTTGGTGTTGATGAATTACCAGGCCCTGCTCCCACTCAACATGGCTCACAAATAGACCACTCTTTCCCTTTCCTGGAGTCATTGAATGAGGTTTGATCTTGTATTATAGAACCTCTCTCTTTCTGTCCCTCTATCTCTTTCGCTCTCTTCCCTCACTTTTGAGATTAATAAGGTGGTATTGATATTGTAGGTTTTGGAAACAAACAGGGCTGAGGAGTCACAGAGCCATGTGCACCGGATGTATTTTATGGGTCCTAATACTTTTGGGGATCCTTGGCATTTGACTCACACTCCTCCAGAACAAATAAAAGAGATTGTGTGAGTTTAAGTTTTATATATCATCTATATACTGTCATTTTGGTATCCACTTGGAATTTCAAGGAACCTTAAAGTTATGGCCATTTTCTTAATATAAATTATTGATCTTAGTCTGCATTATAACAAATCGGAAAGATTATAGTTTGAAATATAGCATTCCCTCTGGCAGATATGAGGGGCCATTTAATACATTTGTCGATGGGATTAATTCCATAGCCACTTATCAATGGTGGGAGGGAGCAATGTACAGCATCCTCTCTATTCTTGCATACCCCCTTGCATGGTCATGGCAGCAGTGGCGCCGAAGACTGAAACTGCAACGTCTGCGTGAATTTGTTCGATCAGAGTATGATCATGCCTGCTTAAGGTCTTGCCGTTCGCGTGCTTTATATGAAGGGATTAAGGTTTGAATTTCATTATGGGTTCAGTGTTGAGGGTCATGAGTTAAATTTATACATTGTCTGTGATTTATTCCCTTCATATGATAGAAGGGTGCTTCAAACTAATTTACGTGCATTATGTGGACTTGGTTTTACATCCTGTAACCTTTGATGTAAATGCTGTCAGGTAGCTGCAACTTCTGATTTAATGCTAGCATATATGGACTTCTTCCTTGGTGGTGATGAAAAGAGAACTGATCTTCCCCCTCGTTTACATCAAAGGTTTCCTATTTCATTACCTTTTGGAGGTGATGGAAGTTATATGGCCCCTTTCTCACTTCACAGTGATAATATTGTTACAAGCCTCATGAGTCAGGTTTGTTGATTGATGCTGACGAATCCAAAGCTCAGCTGGCTAAACTGATAATTTTTATGCTCTAGCTTCTAAAGTAGTTTATTAATCTTAATGCTTTTTGTGTGCAGGCAGTCCCGCCGACTGCATGGTACCGTATGGTTGCTGGTTTGAATGCACAGTTGCGCTTAGTTTGCTGTGGGCGGCTAAGAGTTACGCTTCAGCCTGTCCTTAGGTGGCTAGAAAATTATGCCAATCCTGCTTTGAAGATTTATGGTGTACGTGTTGATCTTGCCTGGTTTCAGGCCACATCTTGTGGTTATTGTCATTATGGGCTCGTGGTGGATGCTCTTGAAGAAGACAGTGAACCTGCCTCTGTTGGAAGCATTGATGGAGCAATACGAACTGAAGAATCACGGTAATGGCTTCTAATGTTTAGAAAAGTACATACTTATTGACTCCTTTTCATTTAGACCCCTTCCTACTTCGTTCTTGTATTAGATAATTGTATGAACTGATTGTGGTGTAGTGAAAATTCTGTGCATGATTAGGAGTAAACACACACACACACACGTCTTACAATATTGTCATTACGGTTTGATACCTTTAAGTAGGGGTTGGGAATCTCTGGATAGGGATGTAAAGAAGCATACCGCAAATTAAAAGATAAGAGGAAACTTGGAACAAAGATAGCATGCACAAGACATGCATGAACATGCAAACACAGTGATGTTTTGGTATAGGAAATGCAAAAATAATGGTATAGGCATAACATCGAATTGATAAGTCTGCATGCCTGTGTGATAATGTTTGAAGAGATTTAAGTAGTATAAAGCTCTGGTTCGAGTACTTATGTATTCAATACAGTTGGAGGCGAGCTGAGTCTGTCTTTCCTTTGACTTTCAGTGCAAATTACATAGAAGATTCATCTGGTCATTTGAGACAATCGCTCCTAAACCAGTCTCACAGAAGTGAAGATTTTATGAGGCCAAAAAGAGCATATGGAGGGATTATAGATGCTAACAACATACAAAAGCTTGAGGAAAAGAGAGATATGTTTTATCTTCTCTCTTTTATACTTCATAATACCAAACCTGTTGGACACCAGGTATCTCTCATGCTTATATTAATTTGTCTTGGAGATTTCAAATTTCTCATTCTGAACATATACTTTTACGAACTGCAGGATCTCGTTGGTTTAGTCATCTCAATGCTTCTTTTAGGAGATTTTAGCTTAGTTTTGCTTACATTACTCCAGCTGTATTCATTTTCATTGGTGGACGTCTTTCTGGTTCTATTGATTATACCCCTTGGCATTCTTCTCCCGTTTCCTGCTGGTATCAATGCTCTATTCAGTCATGGACCCAGACGTTCTGCTGGCCTTGCACGTCTACATGCTTTGTGGAACCTTACATCCTTGATTAATGTTGTAAGTTGCTATTTTTAACCCTCTGCTTCAAGTCTTTGGTCTGCTAGTAACATCTTTGGATTTGAAAGCTTCTTGTCTGGTTACTCGAATCTGGGTCCACTAATTTGTATTGTATGTTGGTCATGTGTTCTTTTGGCAGGTGGTTGCTTTTGTTTGTGGTTACGTTCATTATAACACTCAATCAAGAAGTAGAAAACATCCCTTTCAACCCTGGAGTATTAGCATGTGAGGGGATCTCTCTCTGTGCCAAGAATTTCATTAGTTGAGAGATCGTAAGTTATATTTTATATTCGAGACACAATACTCAACTAACAGGATGTGTTTGTGTTGTCGGGTTGGTGGGTGCAGGGACGATAGTGAATGGTGGATTTTTCCTGCCGGTTTGCTGCTTTGTAAAGTTTTTCAGTCGCAGCTAATCAATTGGCATGTTGCGAATCTGGAGATTCAAGACCGTTCGTTGTACAGCAATGATTTTGAGCTCTTCTGGCAGTCGTGATGGCCGTGTTTAAGGAGAGGATAATTTATTTTCCACAATTAACATGTTCTTGTGGCTTTTTTTTTTTGTAAGACATGCTTGTTTTGTAGGTGAGGGAGTGACAATTTGACATAGGTTAGAAAAAAGAAAAGATAGAAAAAATGTTGAAATATGAAGAGACACTGGTGAAAGTAAAAAGGAAATACAAGAGAGAGAGAAGGGAGGGTTATTTATGTAACCACATTTGGCAAGTCAGTTTTTTGTTGTTGTTGTTGTAAATAATAATTATACGCCCTCTTTCTCTACCACTTGGTTCTTCAACCCTGACTTTTCAAGTGTAATTTGATTAGAAATTTAACCCCAAAAATAATTTGCTTAGAGCTGGCTCCTGGCTGAGTAGCTGTTATTATTCAAGCGAGGGAGATTTCGGTTGGAAGATGTTAACGGCGATCGTTGTTGAGAGCTGCTGCTGGCTGATTGGTTCCCGAGAAAATAAATATGCACTCTGGTAGCTGCGGGATTCTGTAAGCCGTAATTGCAGCCGCTCATCGATCCTTCTTCTGTTTGGTTTCTCAGGAAGGCAAAAACGACTAGTCCTTCTTTCTTTTGGATTTACCAAAATGCTGACGGAATTGTATTCCTTGATGAATCCAAAACGACAGCGTCTTTTCTTCGCCGATTGTGGTGCCCCATTGGGTTGCTTATCTCTTATTTGATTACTCTGGGGTTCAGTTTTTGAACCAACCAACCGTTTGATGAAATGCGCCAATGAAGATGAAGAAAGAACCACTGAAATGTGTTCTTCTGGTTCACCAGGTTCACGAAGCTATGCTTCGAATGCATATTCCTAATCTTGTGGTGCCTCAAGATATCATATCCTTATACTTAGCTGTATTAACCGACTGACTACAATATTTACGTGTATCTAATTTCATTTCTATTAATGAATTTTGATATGAAAATGATATTAAGAAACTGACTACAATACTTAGCTGTATTTAACACTAAAGTTTCCCACGCATTGAACGATTGATTTTTAAATTTCTTCCGGTTTTTTATTCAAGTTCCGACTTTCCAAATCTCGGATGTTCTCCCGTCCGAAATTGCCACCTGGGGTGGTTGTGACGTTCCGACCTTCACGGCCGGTGACACTAGCAATCTCATACTAAATACGCTCCTCACCCGAGTAAAATGAAACCGGGTATAGATCTCCTGCTTTTGCTAGAAAACACTAACTTTCCTGCACCGTCGATTTTCGTAGGACCGCTCAGATTCACAATACTATAAATCTACACAGGCAACAGGTAATTACGCCCAGAAGTTTGAAAAACTTAGGCGCAAGTCCAGAGCGGGAGACCACGTGGCGACAGCTGGGAATTCGACCGTTGCGAAGTGCTTATTCAATCCCTTCTTTAGCAGTCCCTTTTCCTTCATTCTTTCGCCCTCGCTTTCTCTCTCTCTCTCTTCCTCTCTCATGGCGATTGCTGCGGAGAACCAGGTCCCCCAAGAGAAGGTGAGAATCAAAGAAAAGCAAGTTTCAATTTTTGTAGCAGTTAGGGTTTATTGAGTTCCCCAATTCGGATTCTAGGGTTTTCATTTCATTTCGATTCTTTGGTTTTCCTCTGAGAAAGATATTTGCATGAATTTTTTTTAAGAAGATTGTGGTTTCTTTAGGTTTATGTGAATTTTTAGATCGCACTTTCGAAATTCGAATTCGAGCCTCTGACTCTAGGGTTTTCTGATTCGAAGATTTAGGAATCTGGGGTCGGTCAATTAGCTTCATTTTTCTAGAGTTCAAGAATTCAATGTTAGCCTCTGCTATTTTTTTGAACTTTTATTTAATTAATTTGTTTTGTTTGTTTTTAAGATCATTTTATAAAATGGGTTCGGTTTCAACAGGCTTCTTCGGAGGTTTCAGCGACGGAGACAAGAAGATGGACGCTCAATGACTTCGACATCGGAAAGCCTCTCGGACGAGGAAAGTTTGGTCACGTCTATTTGGCAAGAGAGAAAAGGGTATGCTCTTTTCTTCTTTATTATGGGTATGCATTTTGCAAATTTTGCGCTTTTCTGGCTGCTATATAATTTAATCCTCTGGTAATTGTGCTCATTTCATGGGAACTTCGGTGTGTACGCTTTAGGTTGCTTTGTTCTTGATATGTCGTTTCTTTGTTTGTTATGAAGATTGGCATAAATGGGTAAGTCTAATTTGGGAAGTTATGTTTATTTGCCACAAAAGGAACTACCTTAGAGAGATTTTGGTTTATTTATACGTATTCTTCTTTGCTTGCTTCCTTTCAGCTGTGGCCTAATTTGATCTATGTGTATCCCTTGAACAGAGCAATCACATTGTGGCACTTAAAGTCCTCTTCAAGAGCCAGCTGCAACAATCTCAGGTTGAACATCAGCTTCGTCGCGAAGTTGAAATACAAAGTCATCTCCGACATCCCAATATCCTACGCCTCTATGGCTACTTTTATGATCAGGTATTTTTCTCTTAAGGTCCTACTCATATCTTAACACCTTAAGCTTGTATGCTCAATGGAAGGACCGGTCATTAACCTTTCTCTGGAAATGCATTTTTTGCAGAAGCGAGTTTATTTGATATTAGAATATGCTGCCAAAGGTGAACTATACAAGGAACTACAGAAGTGTAAATACTTCAGTGAAAGGCGTGCTGCCACTGTAAGTTGTTTTTATGCAGTGTTTATCAGAACACAAATACTTTACATTGCTAGGTTATTTATTTTTGAAAATCTGGCTATGATACTGACGTGTGTCCATTTGTTGCATTGGCAGTATGTTGTATCATTAGCCAGGGCCCTTATATACTGCCATGGAAAGCACGTAATTCATAGAGATATCAAACCAGAAAACCTCCTAATTGGTGCTCAGGTGGTGACTCCCATTCATGCTATTATATGCTTCCTTTCATTTTTTTAGTATTGCATATTTGGTGTTTCTCAAATCAATGTGGATCTCCTTTGATAGGGTGAACTCAAGATAGCAGATTTTGGGTGGTCAGTACACACATTCAACCGCAGGCGGACCATGTGTGGCACCCTTGATTACCTCCCTCCAGAAATGGGTATGCTAATAAAAGAGACTTTATGTTCTTATGCAAATTCTTGGAGGACTTGTCTTTATTGATTTCACTTGCCATGTTACCATATGTTTGATTTCATGCTTTTGAAACAGTATATGTCCAAACTGATCATCTTTCACCATTATACCTTACTAACACTTCTGGGGTTGTGAAACTTGTCGTGATACAGTGGAGAGTGTAGAGCATGATGCTAGTGTGGATATCTGGAGCCTTGGCGTCCTCTGCTATGAGTTCCTATACGGAGTCCCACCTTTCGAGGCCAAGGAGCATTCGGACACATACAGAAGGTAAGGTGTAGACTGCAAAATGATTTAAGTTCACAAAATAACATTTGTCATCACTGAATATCCTATTCCCATTTAACTTGTATGTGTGGTGAGGAATTCTGCATAGATACATCTTACACAAAGTAGCAAACACGAATCTGAAGATGCAATTTTTGGATATGTCACATTGTTAATATGGCTCTGCTATTTGTCTTACTCACAGGATTGTACAGGTGGACCTGAAGTTTCCTCCTAAACCAATTGTCTCTGCTCAGGCAAAGGACCTCATTAGTCAGGTTCTTTGCCCTTCAATCCGAGTACTTGGTATTCCTTGTTGCTTTAAAATAAAGGGGTTATTAGTAATTCCTGAATTGTTTTGCTTTGAAATGCAGATGCTTGTCAAGGATTCTGCTCAACGCCTGGCGTTACACAAGCTTCTTGAACATCCATGGATTGTTCAGAACGCCGAGCCCTCTGGCGTATATAGGATATAATCTTCGAATTCCCAACTGAGGAGATAAAGGCAGTTGATTTTTATGTTCTATGTGATGTAATACTTCCTTGTATGAATCTATTGATATAATTTGTTTGTTAATAATTCTTTGCTTTGCGCAACAATAGTTCCTCGTGAGTTAATTTAGCTGATAAGTAAGTTAAATGCCCGCGATTTGTTGACATTTTTACTTCCATTTTCGCTTGCTCAGTTTCTCCAATGCTTGCATGGCACGGAGGTGAACTCAGAGGTTTGTATGTTGGCATTGAAACGGCTCACTAAAACTTGCATGTAAAGGAAGTCACTGCCTCGCGATTTCTACGCTTGCCATGTAGTAGAGACAGTCCGATAGATTTTTGGAAATGAAAGAAATGAAAGTAAATAAAATTCGAGTACAATACTGATCTAGCAAAATGAAGTTCTGATAGACGCAAATCGTGGAAACAGAAACCAACCGATACATCGTTTTTTTTCGTACAACTTGTTTAATTGAAAACTTTCAGATACAAGCAAACAATCAGTGCTCGATATATATTAGAAGTCAAAATTTGAGCTTCCATCATCCGAAATCTGGGGATGGTAAAGGGAAGAGCCACGTGTGTTTTCATGACATGCTGGGGATGTCTTTTGTTGCGAACTTGCTATCTTTACAGTTTTCCCCATCCAACATCTGAGTTGGAGGATCTTCATCTTCTTGGATTTCGGTGACATCTTTGGGGTTCAAGAAGCTCGGCTGGTTGGTTGAAGAAAGGAGTCGTGCCCACATCCTGTCAGTAATCACAACCTTGTTCTGCTTCTCTGTAATATGCTGCACATCGAAAATCAAACAGATCAATCACTGAGGGGTCTTAATTTCAAACTGTCGGATCAACATTTCTATTGAGATAAAGAGCATGAAATTTAAGATGCAGTTGAAGGTGAAAATAAAGAAACGATGACAATGTAAAAGATGAGAAACCTACATTGAAAGGAATATAAGAATGCCTTCCATTGACAGGCCCACATACAAAGCCTGTGTACCCTGCCATTGCTCCATGAACCGCACTTTGAGCAAGGAGTGTGCAGTAGACATTGTCGGCTGCATTGCTTGGAATAGCCCGGATCATGTACGTAGGATCTGGAAAAACAATTTGACTGGTTAGATGCTATTTCAAACTTACTTTTGCTGAATTTTTGAATGGGGAAACAGAAACAACTAAAGGAGGCAAATCTAGCACCGCTGACCTATATACTTAAGATTAATGGCGAGCTTTTGCTGCCTTCCAAAGTGACTCTGAAACGTAAGCAAACAACAGTTAACCAAACAAAGGATGTTTAAATAGATTCATCAGTAAGATATCTGCATCAGCCCTGAGCTCCTCAGTTGCCAGTCGGGGATGAGATTTTACATGCAAATGGAGAGTGACAAGGAACTTTAATGACAGTAGATTCTCAGATGGTCAAGACTCAAGAGAGAGTTGATATGATGTGCAGAAAAGAAAACAGGGAGAGAAAATAAAACCGAGAAAAGATTGCAAGGGATACCTTTATCCTCTCAGAAATCCATAACCCAACATCTTGAAGTAGCTTGTTTCCTGAAGCATCCTGCTGGTTCATAGATTGCAAGCTCTCTGACAGAAGATCTTGTCCTGCACCCTCAGCTATCACAATAACCATATGTCCATTTTCTTTGAGTCGTTTTTCAATGTACTCAAAAAGTCCACCTTTTCCTTCAAGATAGAAGGGGGACTCTGGAATCAAACAACAGTCGACATCTCGACTGGCAAGTGTAGCATACATAGCTATGAAACCTGCATCAGGAAGTCCAGTTTAAGTGAAAAGCTGTAAAGGCTGGTACCAAAACATAACTAGTATGAACAAAATTCTGTAATTTCTTCCCAATTAAATTTCATCCATTAGGATCTACATTTGCATGAGTCTGTGATATTGAAACATCTATAGGCACGGAATGAGAATATTTACCACTGTAGCGTCCCATTAGCTTCACAACACCAATACCGTTCTCAATACTTTCAGCTTCAACATGAGCTGCATTAATGGCACGTTGAGCCTCCTCAACTGCAGTATCAAAGCCAAAAGATCTGTCTATAACCTGAATGAAGAAAATAAAATTACTACCTGAAACAACAAAAGCAGAAACCAAAGTTAGAATCATATGTTCTGTATAATAAGTACCGGAATGTCATTGTCTATGGTTTTTGGAATTCCTGCAACAGAAACTTTGAGGCCACGCCGCCTAATTTCCTGCACAATGAGAACTAAACTGCTAAAGAAATAGTTGTGACATGAGAACAACGACGAACGAGTAAATTCTATATAACTTAAACTTCAATAGCAAAGAAACAAAAGAGATTGTAACATACAGATCATCAAGACAAGTCAGATACAGTTACACATGGAGTTATTCTTTTGTAAGAGAAGCCACGATCATTTAACATTGGCCTCAGTTATAAAATTCAAGGCGGCACCTTTCTGCGAATATATCAAACTTTCATTGTTTCGGGGAGAGTAGTTTTACCTCATATATGACAGCTGCTCCTTTTTGAGTTCCATCACCTCCAATTATGTAAACCTGTATCACAAAACGCATGACATGAGAATTCGTCTCTGTACCTTGGCTGTGTGATATTATGTTTGAATTTACTATATAAAGTTAATAAGATGCAGAACGATAGTTAAAATGAACAAATCCTTACATGATTAATTCCACGATCCTGAATGCTGTCAACTATCTTTGCAGTATCATGTCCTCCTCGTGACGTACCAATGATGGTACCGCCACGCTTGTGGATGTCATTGACAACCTTGGGTGTCAAGGTAATGGTGTTTCGGGCATAGAAACCCTTGTATCCTCCCTGATATATGTCAATGTAGAATTTGTTAGTGAGACATTAAACTCCTATCTGTTTTACAGAAGCAGTTTCAAGCTATTTCCTTTCTCAATGTCAAAAAACATATTGAACCTCGAGATTATATCAATGTAAACACTCACGTCTATCCCAAGTACTTTCGAGACACCATACATGTGATAAAGTCCACACACAATTTCCCTGATCACCGTGTTGAGCCCCGGGCACAAACCACCACATGTTACAATACAAGCATGAACTTCAGCCGGGTTGAAATAAACCTGAACCAAACCAAAACACAAATCCATGTCACTCAAATACAATGCACATTTCTTAATATTGTTACTTCAGCAGCAATTCAGACAGCAAAAAATGTGATACCTTCTGGCGTGGTCCTGCTCGCCGGAAGTGTGTCCCTCTCGGACTATCCGTGTGAACAACAATCTATAAACCAGAGGAAAACCATAGCATTTCAAGCTCACATACACAAATAACAACCGAGCGCAAAAAACTAATAAATAAATATATAAAATTACAAAAAATTAATTAAAATTACATGATTAATAAATAATACAAAATTTTAACACAATCTGATCTACCCTACACTCTATATAAAATTACAAAAAACAAATTTGAGAAATATGAATAATTTATTAAATTAAAAAAAAAAAGGGTAATTACCTTTTGAGCAACGGTGTCATCCACGTTAACAAAATACTGTCTAAAAAAAAGTAACATCATAAAAGAGTCAGTCTTTTGCATTGAATCAAATAGCAAACAGAAGCAGAAATCATGGGTATGGATTAAATTTACGTACTTTACAACTGAATAAGCAGGATTGAATCGCAACGGATTGGGATAAGTCTGCACCCGCAACCCAACACCCCAAAAAATCAATTAAATAAATAAATAAATAAAATAAAACGAAAATGTAGATAAAAAAAAATTGAATTTAGAAAAAAGGGCGAGCGAGGAAGCTTTACAGGAAGATCGGACAAGTAATCGGAGAGATGGGGGACGTCTTCGAGCATGTAGCCGAAGTCGCCCTTGACCACCTTTATCTGCACGTTTCCGGGCGGATTCGAATCGCCCATTTGTAAATTTTTTTTATCTTTTTATTCTCTGACGGAAAACGTATGTAATTCGAAGGAAGCAGAAAAAATATCAGAGTGTACGAACAGAGGAAAGAGGGAAGGAGATTGGGGTTGATATGGTAAATTGGAGCGTGTGGAGGGGTATTTATATTCCGCAATGATTGTGCCCGCGAGTGACGGAGCGGGTGGTAAAATATCGGAAATGTGTTGACGACTCGTTACGGGGAAAGCGACGGCGTCGCGGTCAACACGAGCGATGCAGTTTCCGGTAGGCAGAAACAGGGGCGGGATTTTAGTGGCGGCTTTATTTTTTGGGCCGGAGGTTTATGTGAGGATCCGATACCAGGTTTTCCGTACGAAAACGGGGGGCGGGTTTAGTTAGCGGTAATTGTCCACTTTCGGCGGAAAGAGATCCTTCCCGATCTCTCCTCCACAACCCAAGCATGAAGGCCTTTTTGGCAGCTCGGAGACTATTTCAGTCGGATAGGATAAATAATCGTTGGATAGTACTGACTAAATTAGTTTGGCGTTTGGTATTGTATCAGATTAATTTATGCATCGAATAATACGTCGGACTATAATAATTTTTTTTAATTCACAATAATTGTTGTTAAAATTAAAAAAAAATAAAATAAAAAAGGTAAAAAAAAAAAAAAAAAAACAAGACTCTTCTTAGTCACATCTTCCTTCTTCACCATCTTCCCTGCGCATCAATCCCACCTTTGGCGACCAATTGCAGAGGAGTAGTGGTCAGGGTCAAGAACTCGAAGCCTATATTCGAATTCCTGTCCCTCTCCTAGTCGGAGCCCAGCTCCCTTCCTCATTGGAGCCCAAATCCGAATTGATATACCCCTCCTCGTCGGAGCCTAGCTCCCTTCCTCATCGTCCTTCTCGTTGTCGGAGTCCAGATCGGAAGAATTTGAATCATCATCTTCCTCGGAAGAATTTGTTGTCAGAAATCAAAGGCAAACAGAGAGGTGGGAGGTGTGTGTGCAAAGAAGGAGGGAGGAAGAGAGAGAGAGAGAAAAAAAACAAGATGGCGACGAAGATGAACTTGGAAGTAGACGAGAGATAGCAGGCGATGTGAGAGAGTTGAAGGAAAGTGCGTGAAAGAGGGAAAAAGTGAGCTAGTGTGAGCGAGAGAGATGCACCTGACTAAATAATACAGAGGTTTGGGACGGGATAAACAAGCGGGTGTGAAGGGAATAAAAAAAGTGGGGCCGGATTAAATAATTCGGTGCTTATTTAATACGAAGCTCACAAAACATCCGCTTCGTATTATTAGCACTATCCAGTGGTCTTATACGGCGTGCCAAACGAGGCCTCGAACATAAATTTGATATAACGGTTAAAAACAAAAAAGTTAGTAAAAATTTTTAAAAGTTATAATAATTTTTAATCGTTCGATCAAATTTCAAAGGTTTAGATTGCTTGATTCTTGAATTTAAAGGGAGAGATTTGGAGAGAATCTCTTTCCACTTTTGACATCTAGGTTTTTGAACTAGGTGGTTTTTAATTGGTGTATAAATTAGACACGGTAAAAATTTAGTGGCCAGGGAATAATGTATAATTATCATTTTTTTAAAGTTAATACTGGAGTTTGGGCAAGTAGTTTATGACTTAATTGGTTAAGAGTATTTGTTTATGCATCTGATATCTTGTATTTGAATATGTCTTTTTGTAGTTTAGATGAATTTAGTGTATATTATTATATCGTTTGTCAAGAAAAAAAAACTAGATAACTGAATTTCATAACACTCAATTACGATATTATTTAATATAGAAATAAGATACTGTCTTTTCTTTTCAGGTTAAAAGTTGTTTGTTCTGAGTTTTTTCAATCACTACGTTTGAAGAGGAGGAATTCAAACTCCAAAAAAAAAAAAAAAAAAAAAAATGTAATGACATGAGATCTCAATTGAACAAGTTAATTTTCTTTTACTGCAGTCAAAATAAGTTAAGCATCTAATCTCTATTAATTAATAAAATATTCATTGTTAATCCAAATTTTATGAAACTACCAAATTAACTCTCTAATTAAAACAAAACATGAATAATAAATATGAAACAAAAATATAATTTCACACAACCAAATTTTACTTTTTTTTTTTAAAACCTCACCAATATGTAATTCTAACGTATCTTTCTCTCTCCTTTTATTTAAATCATGGAGTGTATAAAGAAGGCCACCGACATTGTTTGCTTTTTTCCTTCTTTGTTTAGATCTAATTTTTTCGAATATATGTAAATTACAATGTCCCGGTACCACATGAGTAATGCCTTCCAAAATTAATTAATTTGGCCCACCACATAATTAGACCGACAAATATAAGATGGACGCGAACCCAATAGAAAAGGCATGGACCCGGTTCATACTGGATTCGGCAAGAAATCAATATGATACACTAACAGACAACTCACATCGCGCCACGTGTAACCTTTTTTGACAAACCCGCGAGGGAGGCAGCCGAGATACTCATCTTCCATTCCCGTTGGATTCCAGAAACTTCCCTCCTTTCCACCGCAAAAGCATTCAACGCCTGACCACAGAAGAAGAAGATCAATCAGATTCACGGAACGATGTCGTGGCAGCAGTACGTCGACGACCACTTGATGTGCGATATCGACGGCAACAGCCTCACCGCCGCCGCTATCCTCGGCCAAGACGGCAGCGTTTGGGCTCAGAGCGCTACTTTCCCTGCGGTTCGACTCTCTTTCTTTCCTTCGTGTTTATTTCGCTGTTTAAGTTCTAGATTTACTTCGTTCACTGGATCTGATCGATTTCGAAAAGTAGCTTTATCACTGACTGGTTCGGTCGATCGGTGTCTGAAGCGTATGATTTGTACTTGATAAAGAATTGATGAACTTAATTGAAGTGTTTATGTGGTTTTGATGTGAATGTGATTAATTTGGAGGAATCGGTTCTTGATTTGAATCAATTTAAATGCTTGATTGATTTACTTGTACTGTGTTACTGTTTGGATTAGAGTGTGAATCGAAATGCTCAGAACAAATTGGTCGATTTTATTTCTTGTTAGTTTTCAGAATTTGTTGTTGATTGTTGTTATAGTTTAAGCCTGAGGAGATTGCTGCAATTCTGAAAGATTTCGACCAACCCGGAACGCTTGCCCCAACCGGATTATTCCTTGGTGGGACCAAGTATATGGTGATCCAAGGTGAACCCGGCGCTGTCATTCGAGGAAAGAAGGTGAGGAGGTTTTAGAATCCTGCTCTTATGTGATGATGCCATAGATACTATTATGCAGAACTCATTTGTCCCATGAATGTCGTTTTGATTGATTGCGGTTGAGTGTTGCTACTGCCTATAGAATTTTGTGTCGAAGATGTTTGATTTGTTTTTCTCTGTGATATTTCTGTTGACGTGATGTGTCTAATATATGTCAGGGTTCGGGTGGAATTACCATTAAGAAGACCAGCCAGGCCCTGTTAATTGGTATATACGATGAGCCTTTGACTCCTGGGCAGTGCAACATAGTTGTGGAGAGGCTGGGAGATTACCTTATCGAGCAGGGTCTCTAATTGCTTCGGTGAGTTGATTCTCTCCCCAGTTGTCTGCTCTTGCTGTTTTCATTTCCGGGTTTTTGGAGACGGGGTTTGCATCAACCGCAATTGACATTGTTTTCATCTTTTGTTTGGCAGTAGCTAGTTTATTTGAAGTTATGGTGAACTTGGTTTGAAAACAAAGTTGTTGCTGCTTGGGATGTGATGGATTTTATGTATGAAAACCGTTTGTCTTTGCGTTCTGGGGTCTCTGGATATGGATTGTCGTGAATGATAGCGTTTTAATTTTGCAATTATTATCCAGCAAAGTTATTTTCTTCCTTTCACCGGAAACCATATGTAATTGGTGTCGTTATCAATGGAAATGCCTTGTGTGAAACTGGTAGTTGCACCGAGTTGTTTGGTTTCTCGGAACATGAGTTGGGTGAAAGACACGGGAACAGGAAACCTTTTCATTGTTTGACTGAAGATAGTGACCACTTTTGAGTAAGGTTGTGCATTTCCACCAAAATCTGAATGGTTTTGGAAGCCGTTCAGTTTTGAATCCAAAACCGAAATTTCGAAATCTGAAAAAATTCCAAAAAATATTGGATGGGAATTGAAATGTTTCCGAATCCAATCTGAAATTATCGGTTTGCTATGACCCCTCAAACTCTATATTTTAGTAAACGCAGGTGAAATTGAAAATCAAATGATTTCATTTCCCGTTCGTTGGAGGTCAACATGATGTTTCCTTTTGCTGCATCCCATAATCCAGAGAACTTGTTACCTGCTTAACAATCTCCACTCAACACTTGCTACCAGTAGTCATTGCAAGAACACTTCCCATCTTTGAAATGGTGGAACCGACTGCGATCGCGCACAACAATCTCTCGCCCAACAATTTTAGAGATTAGTTTCGTTGCATCGTGGCAATCGTGACAAACTCGCAAATTCTTCACGATTCGAATTGTGGTTCCAGGACTGGTACTAATCAGCCCGAATGCAATCGCTAGCCTCTCGCTGTGAACTAATAATGCATCCTCTTTCTCTTCTTCATCGATATTATGTAGGACTAAATCCGTCTTCGGTTTGTACCCAGCTAGCTTCATTTTCCTCCTTAGTTCTCTAATCATCGAATATATCTTGTCCATCTGAGGATGCGACAGGTCTCCCATGAAGAACTCATGAACTATGTTGTCCACCTCTATCCAGCTGCATCCAGGTGTTTTCGATACGCCTTTATCTCGCATTTGCAGCCTACATCTTGCTGCATCGTCTAGCCTACCCATTGACGTATATACATTAGCAAGATAAACATAGCTTCCAGAATGATCGGAATCTAGTTCAAGAATACGCTGAACTACACGTTCCCCTCTCTCACTATCTTTATAAATCCGGCAACCACCTAGCAATGCTCCCCAGACTATAACATTAGGCCGCATCGGCATTGTGTTGATCATATCCTCTGCTTCAATAAGGCGGCCGGCACGACTGAGAAGATCAACCACACATCCATAATGCTCAACCTTGGGAAGGATCCCGTATGCTTTGGCCATCAAATCAAAATACTCAAGCCCCTTATCGACCAAGCCAGCATGTGTACATGCTGTCAATAATCCCATAAAAGTGATGTCATTTGGCTTCACCCCATACTCAATCATTTTGTCAAAACACCTGAAAGCTTCATCAGCATGGCCATTCATGGCCAATCCAGTGATGATAATGCTCCAAGATATCACATCTCTCTCATGCATCTTGTTAAAAACCCGTTTAGCCTCAATTATCCAGCCGCACTTCGCATACATATCCGCCAATGCATTCCCCAAAAACAGACCTAATTCCATCCCATTCCGCCTTATAAACCGATCAATCCACTTCCCCAAGTCAAGAGCACCAAGGTGAGCGCAAGCAGACAGCACACTGATCAGCGTAACATCATTTGGCGTCACCCCACATTGCTGCATTTGCCTAAACATCTGAATAGCCTCAGCATACTTCTCATTCTGTGCATACCCCGCAATTATTGCATTCCAAGAAACCACATTCCTCTCCGGCATCTCATCAAAAAGCCGCCGAGCCTCATCCAACTCACCCGCCTTCGCATACGCACTGATCATAGTCGACCAAGAAAACAAAGTCTTCTCTTCCATCCCATCAAACACCCACCTAGCCTTCTCAACCTGCCCACTCGAACAATACCCAGAAACCAAAGTGTTCCAGGAAACAACATCTCTCACAGACATATCATCAAACAGCTTCTGGGCAATCCCAAAATTACCCAACTTGAAATACATATCAGTAAGCGAATTTCTAACAAACAGATTGGATTCACACCCGTATTTCAAAACAAAGCAGTGAACTTTCTCGCCCTCCGCCACTCGTGCAATCCCGGCGCAGGCCTTGAGCACCGAAGTGAAGGTGTACTCGTCCGGGTCCGGGGCACCCGGCGAACCCAATTGCCGATTGAAAAAATATATCGTGTTTTGCCAGTCATTGTTTTGGGCGAATGCTTTGAGAAGGGCGTTGTAGCAGAAAATATTCGGCGTTTTGAGGGGGTGGTTAAATACGAGTGCAGCGTGGCGGGTGTTGGCGTGGGCCGCAGAGACGCCGATGAGCTTGACGGCGATGATGTTTGGGTCGATGGAGGGGATTGGGTTGGTAAGGAGTTGGGCTTGGATTTGGTAGAGATGGCGCATTGTTAGCTGGGCGGTGCATCTTAGCAGGAGGTTGGTGAGCTTGGGGTGGTTGTGCGGGTAGAGAATAGCCAGGGTGAGTTCGGACTGAGTCGCTAACTCGTTTGCTATGCGCGCGAACTTTCGGAGAAGACGACCGTTATATTTTTGGAACCAAAAAGAGAGTGTAACAAAACCAACCAGCCTGCGCGCTTTGGGCCTAAAGGCCGTATTTTATCAAAATTTCATCGTAGGCCTATACCAAAGCCTAACTTATTATCGTTTATGAGATTTGGATTCAAAATCTCTTGTAACATTACATAAACTAAATGCTTGTAAATGAATAAAACAATTCTTATTTGTAAAATTCAAACAAAGCAAAGACTAACTTAGATCTACCGAACCCAAACCCTAAGTAGAGCTATTTTTCATTACTTTTGACTAGAGATGCGATTTGGCCCAACGTGATCCTCTTGTGAACTTGACTCATTTTGTATCTTGTTCATGTTACCTGATTTGCGTGACATCTTAACTTTTTCTTTTGCACTTACATTGAAATGAATCCACAAAACCCTTTTGCATGTGAGAAGACTCGCCTAAATTGTTGCAAATAAATGGTCAAACATATAGGTTTTACATAAAAATGGTCAAATTAAGATTCAAATCATATATATTTTATACGATAGGATAAAGAGTTGAACATAAGAACTTTTTTATTCAGAAAATGATTAGAACTATAGAAACTTCAATTCTCCAATAAGAAAGTAGATGATTTAAGTAGACTGAAAATTCTAAACTCTAGAGTACATCAACGTTTGACATGCACAATTGAATTCAACAATTTTCTGCCGTAACTTCAAACACAATATATAATCCAAAATTTCGGAAAGGAAGCAGTCATTTGCATCCAAGATTACCGATTCCCCTGACAGCCTATCACGGCATTCTCTGCCATAACTTCATACACAATATATAATCCATTAAAAACCAAACATGCATGAGTCGGACAGAAGGCTGTGATAGAAATGTCGCGAGTAGTAACAGTACTCGTAAAGTAGGATGAATGTGCAACAAAAGAGATCCTACAACAACAGGATTTCCCGTAGGATTTCTTCGGGGAATAAGTCGCAGCAGTATTGAAACTCCCCTCCGAATTTGAAGCTGGTGGTTTTTGCTTCAGGTAGATACTGAAACACGGTGGTGGCCGGGCCGTTCTTCCGAGTTCTGTAGGACTGATGAAGACGACGACCACTTGTATCGTCCGCCGACGACTTATTCTTCTTCGTCGTCTTCAAGTTCTTGAATGGAGACCTGGACAACCATCTGAAGAAAATAAAACTTCTGAAGGATCACACAATTGGCCGTGAGTTGTTGGTGGCGGTGGCGCTTCGACGACAAGACATGGGCGGCGCCATTTCTGCGAGTGCTTGTTTCGTGGAATTAATCTCCAACTCTATTTACTTTACTTATTTCTTTTCCAATCCGGAATTATGATTAAGAAGGAAAGGTTGGGTGGGAGAAATTCAGAGCTTTGGAAAGGGATCGGCGGACTGGGAAGGGGAGGTTGGATGCTGCTCTTCATGGAGAATGTTAAAGAAACGGTAGGAGATTTTGGAAAAGAAACGTCACTCTATTTGAACGAGGGAAATAATCTTGAAAATCAGATAAAAGTTAGAATTTATAAATTGACATGCATCAATTTCTTTGTTTCGATTCATAAACATAAGAATTTAGAATTTTTGTACGAAAAAAAAAAAAAAACTTGAAATTTAAGACCTTTAATTTCTAAGTTTAGATTCCATATAAATATGTGTCGTTTCTCAATTTCTATGATTAAGAGCTTAAAAATAACAAATTACGTAATCAATTCCATTCTTCTTTTAGATTAACCAAACAAAAAAATTCACAAACTCTATAAAATAAAATCCCGTCAATTTAATTTTCGTCATTTTAAAATTCCTTAGTAATTTTAAATTTCTTCATCCAAACATAATGTTAGGGTTTGGGAATGAGTAAGAACTTTTGAGTGAGTGACAATATGATGGAGACGCCACGGATTCGAACTTATATCCTCTTTTGTCATATTTTTGAATTTATTAGTCTAACACAATGGATCAACCTATTATAATTTTTTATATAACTTGTAATTTACGGAATTAGACTCAAGACTTTTCATTTACAAGTCACTTATTTTTTTAATCTAACTTGTAATCTAAGGAATCAGACTCAAGACCTCCCCACTTACAACTCACTGTTCACAAAAATTGAACTTAAATCTTTCATTAGTGTTGAGGGGCAAATAAATACTTAACCATGAGACCCTATCAGTTTGCGTTTAGAATATATTGAGGAATCATTTTGATTTCTATGTTTGGCAAAATAATCGACGAGTGTTGTGGATGGAGGATTGACTCCACAAATGAATATTATTTACCACAAATGTTGTGTAAAAATGGCAATTTTCAACTCCTTCGCTCGGTTCAGTAGCACTTCTTTCTGAATTCAATTTTGTATCGGTAAAGAAGCTCACAATGCGTACCGGTAGATTGCATCAGCTACACCATCTTCATCGTTGCTAAGACCAATTACGTTAGCCACAGCTTTCGCCTTCTCTGCCCCGTTACTAAGAGCAATGCCTAAAGAAGCCAGCTCAAGCATCTCGATATCATTTTCCCCATCGCCAATAGCCATGATCTGAAAAATAAGTTGAGAGAATCAATCAGGAATAACATCGATATTTGTATGCAATAAGATGTACAGAAAGTCAATGACAGTGGCCTTATCATCTGCCAACCTCGCTAAGTTGTGGATTCGGATGGTTAAACATACTATTTGAACGATGCTTGGAACAACAAATACTGCTTGTAACATAATAAGAAAGACTCCAATTTTTAACCTTCATTATGTATGCTTATATTTGCAGGGAAATATCAAACGCCCCTTTTCAATCTGTGGTGATAATCCTTGTGCCGGTCAAGTTGAGGAATATGCATAACTCCCATTAAAACAACGAGATACGAGAATAGTTTTGTTGTACCATACCTCCTTTGGAGTGATTCCCAAATGATCAAGCAGCATGTTTACTCCACTCCCTTTTGAGGTTCCGGGAGGAACAATCTCCAGCATGTCGGGCACGGTTTGGACAACTGTGGCACTATCTCCAGTTGCTTCGGACCAGTATGGCCTCAAAGCAGTTGTCACTCCCTCAGCAGTGTCCATGAAGACTAGTTTCTGTATATCGATAAGGTGTGCGTCATTACAAGAACCAAAAGTAGCAAGAATTATAGGATATTAACTCAATCATATTTTACATATGAGACCAAATGGTATGAATTGAAGACGCTACACAATGGCCTTCCGACGGAAACCTCATTCTTCTATGAATCAACAGAAGTTAAGAGCAAAACCCTAAGCTTAACATTTTTTATTTCTCTTTGTTACAGGGGGATGGGGAGAGTATTGTTCCTCCTTGAGGAGTGTACCTGTATGCCAGCAGCAGCTACAAGATGCTCAACTGAAGGCATGATCTCTGCCTGTAAATAGTTTACATGCAGGTTATATATAAAATGGCGCAAAAAGAAACCTCAGGCAGTAAAGAATATTTATGACCATGATGAAACATTAATCTACTTGCACCTTTTGCTCGTGGTATACAGTATGCATGGAATCGACAAGTGGGTGATCATATAGAGATAAGCAACGATCCTCGGTGAATGCAATAAGAGGAACCTCATTCTCCAGAGAGTAGCGACATGCCTGCACATAAAGATCATCTGGTCATTTATTTCATTACATGCCCATGAATAATATATTCACTCATGGCTCACCAAACTATTACCTCTCTGCACACATCTGTATCCAAATTCATTCTAAAAATTTCCCGACCTTGTGTACCATAAACAAGCAATCCCTGGAATCAAGCAGAGGCAGACAATAAGGACAAGAGGTACTACTATCAACTCAAGACGGACAAAAAAATCGTCCTAAGAGTAAGAGGGAGAGATGATATATGTAATAAGCACTGAGAAGTCTGTTTCTTACAAGTTTGACCAAGCATTACAGAGGTCAAGTCGTTCATTACATACTTGAGGTGGTGGGAATTTACATAAAAGTTCGGTGACAAAGAGCATGAAAATGTTTAAGAGGAACAGGAGTGGATATCGCAGGTTCCCTCTATTGTCCTTATCAAGCTCACAACAGAGAGTACGACATGTAGATCGAGGGCAGATAAACGTGAGAAAATTATTCCATGAGATGAGATTTACCCAAAGCAACTTAAAATGTTAAGATCGCAGCTCTCTGGACAGAAGAGTAATCATGTATCTATCTAAGTGAAGACAGTTCTATGTTCATCACATGTAACTTGGCAACAATCTTAGATGAAATTTTCAAAGGAAAAAAGAGAACCTGCAAGAAAACCCCAGGAGAAAATTCTGAAACAATGCCATCTTTTCCAGTTAAATCTACCTCCTTAAAAATGCGAATCACAGCTGGCCGAGCCTGTTCCAAAGAGCTGTCAACAATCAGAAACTTTTTTGAATCAACACTAGTCAATAATCAAGAAATCATGTAAGAGGTAACGCTGACCAACAGTAGAACACAAGAATAAGTAAAAAGTATAACACATTTCTGAGTATAATGTCTCCTGAGAATGAACAGAAAAAGAGGTCCTCACTTTTCCTGTTGCTATCACTATTTTCACACCCCTTGATGAGGCCTCTTTCAGAGCCTGGACGTTCGTTGAGCTCAGTTGGCTTTTGCTGTTGAGAAGGGTGCCTTGTGTATCAAGAAAAAAAAACATATAAAAACAGTGCGCACAAGGCTATAACCTACAAGCTAAATAAATTAAAGTACAGACGTAAGACACAATAAGCCAAACTTACCATCCATATCACAGAAGATATATCTGAACTTTTGCTTATAGTATTGAGGGCTGCCTTCTTTCTTCCTGTCTTTTAACAACTCAGATGTAAGATTATATCATTGCAAAGTTCAACTTTAACCAAGTGAATCGCAGCTACAGATTGAATGAAGAATTTAAACAATTAACAAATCAAAATAAGGTCCACAGAAGACAGATGTGAAAGTGAAGCTGAAAAAAAAAAAAAGATAAAATTTACCATCTAGTTTGACCCCATCGGAATGGGGTTCAGCATCATATGCGCTCTGAATTAATCCTTTTCCCTTCCACCCAAGACTCTTTAAGAGAAGATCCTCCTCCTTCTCCATTTCTACTTCAGCGTCTTTGCTAACTTCATGATCAAATCCTAACAAATGTAACAACCCATGTACCTACACAAAGGTCCAGTGACTAAAGTTATCAAATTACAGTAGAGAATTACAAATACGAACTCTGTAACACTTGAAGAAAACACATTCAATTGAATATGCCTTTTTACTTTTTATGAGTGTTCACACATCTTCCAGACAAATAATATTTATCATAGAGATTAGAGAACAGTTATCTCTTCAAAACATATAAAACACTAATAATCATATTCTAAAACCAACCGCGAGAATGCGAATCTCATCAAGAAGCGTATGGCCTCTTTGCTCCGCTTGTCTCGCCGCTGTCTCAACAGAAATCACAATGTCCCCCAACATAAGCTGCAAATCATGCAATGGCCATCAAGCATATATCGCCAAAACTACATCCTTTTACTTATAGTCTAATGAAGAAAATGATAGATAAAACCGAACGAGCTAGTACCATGGGAAGCTTAAGATCAGGGACATGCTGGGACATGGAAATAACATCAGTAGCATGGTCCTCTCCTCTCCATTCCTTGTTAAGTTTTCGGATAAACTTGTCATCGCAAAGAAGCACCGAAAGCTCCACGCTTTCATATCCCGCAACACCACCTATAGCATTGTCCCTTGTTTTATACACTGAATCTTTCAGCCCATCAAACGCTAGCTTCACCGCCGCCGGAGCATCCAGCCGGAGCAATTCCGCAATTCTCTGCAATTTTCAAACTCCATTTCACTTCAGCCAATCAAATCAGCTATACTGGTATTACAGAAGAGACATTTATACAAACAGTTGGTGATCGTTACATACCAAGATTTTGGGATTGCTCAATGCTTCTTCAATAGAAATACTGACATCGAGCTCCAGCTCCTTCTCCTTGATTTTCGGGGATTGCCGCCTCACCTTCCTTTCGCCTTTCTGCGAACTGCAGATTCGCCCCCGGATCAATGGCGGTCTGGCTGCACATCTCCATTTGTCTCCGCGCGTCGCGTGAAGTCCGCGGACGAATACCGTTGATACGGAGACCTGAAAGAGGTGCGCTTTCGGAGGGGAGATTAAACCCGGCGCAGATGGAAACGATGAGCAGGAAATTAGGGCGGCGCGTGGGATGCAACGCGCCATTTGAGTGGCGGAGGAGAAGGAGGGTAGGTGGAGGAGCATGTAGACCTTCGGAGCTCTCAATGTCAGTGGTGATTGGTTGGTTGGTTGGTTGCCTCGCGGTTTGTGAGTAGCAAACGGACAGTGACAGTGACGTTACCGGCTAGAAGGATTTTTATTCTCCGCAAACTTTTGAAAATTTTCAGATGTCACCCAAATATTTTCACTTTTATGCAATTAGCGGCTAAACTAATTGTTTATGACAATTAACCACATACAATATACAACGGTCTTGTTTCAAAGTCGTTCTCGTGGCTATAGTAACTAGAATCATTTACCCCCAAGATATGTGTTTATGTGCTGGCTCTTTCCCCCAAATAGCGTAGTAATTTTCTCTAAAACATAGTGTTTTAAGAGGCTCTGCTTAGGTGTTAGGTAACTAATCATCAATGTGATTAATTCTTAAGTACTTATAAAAAATGGCTTCTAGGCAAGTCTAGGCACCTGGCTAGCCATCTAGGTGAGCTGGCGATTTGTGACCTTTTTTGCTTTAATTTTTGGTTTTTAAGAAAATGGCTTAGGATTGCGATTTTTTTCTCTTAGACAAAAATAAATAACTTCAATTTTGCATTTTATGTGATTAATAAATTGTTAAAAACTTGTTGAATACTCGGATGAACAAATTGTTAAAAACTTATTGAATACTCGGATGAACATTCATTATATGCTTATTTCCCATTTTTTCAATATGTTATAATACTTTATAATTTATTTATCATTCTATTTTGTAATTTATGTTTCTTAATATAATTATGTATTATTTTTAAATATAAATAGACACTTATTTTAAATAAATAAAAAATAAAACTTCCTAGGGCCCTAGGCGCTAGGCCTCTTGGCTCTAGGCCTTTAGACTATCTTCAACCGAATGAGGGTCAAGTGACTCGTTTTAGCTCTCTGACATTCCAAGAAATTAATATTTTAATGAACAATGCATGACCATATTTCTTAGCATCTTCAATCGAGGGGCCAAAGGGCCATAGGCCAAATATAACTTTGTAACCAAAAATCATTTCTAACCGAGGGCCAAATGGCTATAGTATGGAATGTGAAGAATTGAAATAAAATGAGGTAAGATAGTATAAATAGACACTTATTTTAAATAAAATAAAATAAAAACTTCCTAAGGCCCTAGGCGCTAGGCCTCTTGGCTCTAGGCTCTTAGACTATCTCCAATCGAAGGAGGGTCAAATGACTCGTTTTATCCCTTTGATTCTCCAAGAAATCAATATTTTTATAAACAGTGCATGACCATATTTCTTAGCATCTCCAACTGAGAGGCCAAAGAGCCATATGCCAAATATAAGACCATCTCCAACCGAGGGCTAGCCAGATGGCTTGTCTTTGCCCTCTGGCCTTCAAGATATTAATATTTTAATGAACAGTACAAGGCCATATTTGACTCCATCTCCAATTGAGGGCCAAAGGGTCATAGGCTCGTTTTATTCCTGTCACAAAAAATCATCTTCAACTAAGGGCCAAACATAATTTATTATTTTAAAACTACAACTTAAATTCAAATCCAACGACTAAGTGACGTCAGCATGACGTCAACTAGCCGTTGGTAGCTGACATCATGCTGAAGTTATAGGAAAAAAAAAAGAATTTAAAAAAAAATGAAACAAATTTTATGAAATAAAAGTTATAGGAAAAATGGAATTTAAAAAAAAAAATGAAACAAATTTTGTAAAATAGAAGTTATAGGAAAAAAAATGAAACAAATTTTGTGAAATAGAAGTTATAGGAAAAAATGGAATTAAAAAAAATGAAACAAATTTTGTAAAATAGAAGTTATAGGAAGTTATAGAAAAAAATAGAAGTTATAGGAAAATTTTGTAAATAAAAAAAATAAACAAAAAAAAATTCAAAAATAACGGTTAGCTAGCTGACATCAGCTAGCTGTTGGATTCAAAATTTTCTTTAAGCAATCATTTCGGTTATAATCGATAGCAATATATTTATATTAAATATATTAAATTTACTCATGTCGGTTATATCCGACATGATTGCTCTGATTTTTTTGCCAGCCCGAGCTGACTGGCTGGCTGCATGCGACTTTCTGGCCCTCTGGACCCTTCGGTTGGAGATGGCCTAACCCTGTAACAAAAAATCATCTCCAACCAAGGGCCAAATAGCTGTAGTATAGAATGTGAATAATTGAAATAAAATGAGGTAATATAGTATGAAATAGTGAAAAATATGTGAGAAATGATGTAGGAAAAAAATTAGAAATTAAAAAAATAAAAAATAAAAAGTGGGTTGGGACAAAAAAAATTCCTAAACTTTAAACCCTAAAGTGGGTTGAGCAAATGAAAAAGAACAAAAAAAAAAAAAAAGTGGGCTAGCCAGCAAGCTAAAGATGGCCAGTCGGTTGGCCATTTGGCCCTTTTTTGTCCTGTGGGGCCCACAAGCCCTTTGGCTTAACCTTCGGTTGGAGACGATTTTCAGGTTATTTTTGACCCTCTAGATCATTCGGTTGGAGATGGTCTTACACACCGTCTAATTACCGCTTAGCAATTTTTCAAACACTACTAAAACACTAATGACAAGACTTGCTTATTAGTGAGAAGTTTGTCGGAGCATGAATAAAAATTTCAATAAAAAAAAAAAAAAAAGTAGTATCGCATGCTTGGCACATGCTATATGATTTGATAATAAATGGACGGATGTGGACCAAGCCACCAAAGCGCCAAACAAGTTGTGAAGCTTGGGTGGTAAATTGTCAAAAGCTTTTAGTTCAATAACTTCAAAGAAGTGGTAAATTGGATGCCAATTCTACAATTTTTCCAAAAACCTTTTTCCGTATAAAGTAAAATAAATCAAAGTTTGGGGAGTTAAATGTAATTTTAGAAAACGGAAAAGACCGGCTGGACTTAACGTGCACTGGGTCTTTTAATTTAATCGATTCCCCATCCGATCCAATCCGGTTCAGCCTACAAGGAAACCTATCTAACCGTCTCTACCGCCTCTACTGACTCTCTCTCTCTCTCTCTCTCTCTCTCTCTCTCTCTCTTCCACTGCCCAATTCAGATCGCTCTCAGTCTCTCCCGCCTCCTCCGCCAATTAATTCAGTTTCCGATTCTCCTTCGCCAACGAATTAGGGATCCGATCGTCTCAGTAACCCGCACTCTCAGCTCCAATTGCCTTCTAATCCCCATTTTCCAAAACAGTTTCTTCAATTAGGTTCGATAAATAGTCAATCCCACTAGCTCGAGTGCTGAAATGGCGAGTTCCGAGGATCCAAATGCATCTTCCCCGGCTGAACAGCCGCCAAAGCACTACGGCATCACAAAGCCGATCTTCCTTTCGGGTCCCACCGAGTATGATCTTCAACGAAATGTCGAACTCGAAAAGGTACACGGATGCGTGCATCAATCTGCTTTATGATGCCAAAGATTGGATATTTTTGGTTGGCTTGATATGCAATTTGCTGATTTTATCTGTTTGTATTGATTTCGGTAGTTCTTGATTGATTCGGGTCTTTATGAGAACAAAGACGAGGCTGCGAAGAGAGAAGAGGTTCTTGGCCGCATTGATCAGGTATAGATATATAGTTCACTGCTCTATTGTCGGCTGTGAGAAAAATCAGTAATGTGATGATATTGGAAATGACTAAGATTTTATCGCAATTGGCGGGTCGGTTTAAAGCATTACCAATGTGGTGTTGTTCTGTGCTTACTGTCAGTTGTGTGTAACTGTGACCTAAAATAAAATAAGTCGGTTCCTTTGGACTCCTAGCTTATGTTTACCATTACTGTCGTCATTTGTACGCCATAGATTTGAAGTCTTGCATTTCCCTTTGGTTGCATGGTACTTTCGTTCAATGAGGTAATTGGTAATTCTGAGTTGATTTTTACTGTAGATTGTGAAAGGCTGGGTGAAGCAATTGACAAGTCGAAGAGGCTACACGGATCAGATGGTGGAGGATGCGAATGCTGTCATTTTTACTTTTGGGTCTTATCGTCTTGGGGTAAATATCAGTTCCAACGATTACTTCTGGTGGGGGTGCACCATCAATTTCTTTTGCTTTCTATTATCATTGTTGTAGGTATGTTCTGTTGGAACTTGCATGTGGATCTACAATTGCATATTTTTCCCTCTATTTAACTCTGTTTACAAGTTATACCCTCTAACTCATGTTACTGTTATATGGTGGGGATAATTTCATCATCTGGAGTTTGACGAACAGATTTGGGTTATGATCCAGAATGGTATGCTATCCGTTTCTAGTGATTTTATTTGCCACTCTTATGCTTGGATGTGGCAAGCAAGGATCCATGCTTTGCAATGAAAAAACTGGTACATGTCCATTAGCCAAGGATAAGCTGATATTAAAACCAACTGATGGTTCACATTTATGATGAAACCTTATAAGAATAACAAGCCCTTATTAGGACTTTGTTCACTGAAACCGATGCCATTGCCATTGGATGTGATCATGCCAACATATATAACATCTGAGGATCATCAATACCTCAGTCTATGAGAACAGTTAGTTCCACAACGGATGAACCACTCCTATGTCATCAGTCTTATTGTAGAATTTGCTGCTGTTTTGATTGTTTAGTCAAATTTACCTTAACAAAGGATTGGATGTTGTTCTTGCTTTGATTGTTTGGTCCAACTACTGAATCTGGAACCATTTACGCTACTTGTTCCCTGTAGCATTATGGCCATCATACCTGTATTATTATTAATGTTATGTTTTTCTGTGACAGGTTCATGGGCCTGGAGCTGACATAGACACTTTGTGTGTTGGGCCATCATATGTGAATCGAGAGGTGATTTATGCACACACATTCATATATATAATTCTGATTCTTTCTTAATTTGTTCGACCAGAATTCTAACCTGCAGCTCTACCTCACAATTGACTCGTTCTGCAGGAAGATTTCTTTATTATATTGCATGATATCCTGGATGAATTGGAAGAGGTTACTGAACTTCAACCAGTTCCTGATGCTCATGTCCCCGTCATGAAATTCAAGTTCCAGGGAATATCAATAGATCTCTTGTATGCAAGCATATCTCTTTTGGTCGTTCCAGATGTGAGTACAGAACTCATTTTTTTGAAATTTATTGCTTTTTGTTCTTTTTATCCATTTCATTGTGTTGCATGATCGTATGACCATATATGAAGAGCCATTTCCAAGCCCATGTAATTTTGTCATGCTTCCTTCCTCACTTGTTTTGTCAGCTGGGCCATCTAAGGTTCTGGTACTAATAGTGTGGAAATTTGGTTTATTACGAACATTTGAAGATCCATAAGCTGCTATCATTATAGTGACAACAAATGTGGTCCTGGTGTCCTTTATGATATTGATGTGGTGTTGGAACATGCTTGTCAACAGGATCTGGATATCTCACATGGATCTGTGCTATATGATGTTGATGAGCAAACTGTTCGAAGTCTGAACGGCTGCAGGGTTGCAGATCAAATTCTTAAACTTGTCCCCAATGTTGAGGTTGAACATGTCTTATCTCTCACCCTGGTTTATTTCTAGGTTGAATTGACTCAACTTGTGACACTCTATTTAACTGTAGCACTTCCGGACGACACTCAGATGTTTGAAGTTTTGGGCTAAAAGACGTGGTGTTTATTCAAATGTAAGTTTGGCAGTGTTCAAAGCTGGTCAGAATCTTCATTGTTATTAACTCATTAATTTTACACTTACGAAATGACATTTCCTTTATTTTTTTCCTATTCTGTATAGGTTACTGGATTCCTTGGTGGTGTGAATTGGGCTATCTTAGTTGCTCGGATATGCCAGCTTTATCCCAATGCAATTCCTAGCATGTTGGTTTCCAGATTTTTCAGAGTGTATACTCAGTGGCGTTGGCCAAATCCTGTAATTCTATGTTCAATTGAAGAGAATGAACTTGGGTTCCCTACATGGGACCCTCGTAGAAACCCTCGGGACCGCCTTCATCATATGCCAATAATAACTCCTGCATACCCTTGCATGAACTCTAGTTACAATGTCTCAGTAAGTACTTTACGAGTTATGGCAGAGCAGTTCGACCATGGTAATAGGATATGTCAGGTGAGAGCATAAATTTAATTTTTTTCTGCGTTTGCAGGCTTTATTTCATTATTGATGATGGTATTCCCCTTTGGTTTTATTAAAGGAGATTGAGCTGAATAAGGCCCAGTGGAGTGCTCTCTTTGAACCTTATCTCTTCTTTGAGGCATACAAAAATTATCTACAAGTGGACATAGTTGCAGCTGATGTTGATGACTTGCTAACGTGGAAGGGATGGGTGGAATCCCGGTTTAGACAGCTTACCTTGAAGGTAAGCGTTTCTTCCATAGTTGTTTTGAAAGCTTTTATGACTCATTCATTGTTAGAAAAGATTCACTATATTGAAGGCATTTCGAAGTAATAAATGGATGATAACTTCCTTATTTTGTACAAGTTGAAGGTTACCATGAAGAAACGTTGTCCCTTTTAGTCCTACCATTTTTGTGGGGATTAGTAGGGATATCTTTTCTTCATGAATGAGCTTCAACTTGAACAAAATATGAAGGTTGTCATTCATTTCTTCCTTCAAAATGCCTTTAATGTAGTGAATAGTCCTATCCAAGCCAATTCTCTCTAATAAACAAGGCCTTATAATGTTTTTTCCTGTTAAGTTTTGCATTTTATCTCCGTGCAGATAGAGCGAGACACAAAAGGGATGCTGCAGTGCCATCCATATCCTAAGGAATATGTTGACGTAACCAAGCCATGCCCACACTGCGCTTTCTTTATGGGTTTGCAGAGAAAAGAGGGATTGAGAGGTAAAGAAGGTCAGCAATTTGATATACGTGGAACAGTTGATGAGTTCAGGGAAGGAATAAACATGTACGTGTTCTGGAAACCCGGGATGGATATATACGTTTCTCATGTTCGCCGGAAGCAGCTTCCTCCCTTTGTTTTCCCTGATGGGTGTAAGCGTCCTCGATTATTGAGGCATGTAAGTCAGCAGGATGAAAGAACCTATGAAGATTCTGCAGGTTGTAGTTCTGGATCTGTGGAAAGACATACCAGGAGGAAAATTGATCATAAAACAGAGGATATGAGGCCAGCTAAACTAGAGAAGCAGACGTCTGTTAGTTCACAATTGATGGAGTCTGTGGCCCCAGAAAGTATTACAGGTGGAGCACCTGATACCAGCTTCAGTAATGGCATTAGAGTAGAGTGTCTTGCAACTGGAGATGCAGAAAAGAAATCTGATCATAGATTGTCTGTTGGACAGTTAGAGAGTGAAAAGGAAGTGTTGGACACATGAGAATGGTTGATAATATTGCGCATGAATCCAATACTGCAAATGAGTGCACGTCTATGCGTGTTCCTGAAATCCCTAAAGTCAGAAATGAGGTCAATCCTTCACAAGAGGATCATGAGGTAAAGCCATCTGAACAGTTGGAGAAATCTCTTTCCTTGAAGGAGCTGGTAATTCCATTCACAGCATCTATCTCAGAGTCCAAGGAAACATGTGAGATGGCGTAAGTAAGGACAGAGTTGGAAATGTGACATTGGCTGACCTGCAGAATATGGATGGCCGACTCTACTGGGAGACTACTGAATTGGACAGCAGATGCTAATGATGTTGATCAATAACTAGTCAAACCATGTAGTCGGAAGATGGGGGTGGAGAATGCTGATTGTGCATTGGGATGGATCCACTTCTAGCAGTCAGAAAATTGCAAAGTGAGTTACTCTCCATTTTCGAACTCTGGATTAGGAATTGTACCAGATGGAAGTGAGAAAACTGAAAGTTCTTGGAGGAGATGGTGAGAGGGGATATTTGCCGGATGATGCACTTTTGGAATTGGCAGAGTCGCTTGGGAAAAATGGCTCTATAAACACGATAGGGTATTTCAAAATGCCTTGTCAGAAGAGGTTATGGTTTTGAACATAAACTCTCTTACACATGTTTTCTGTATGCTTTCCTTTCTTGCACAGACAATGTGCTAACTGGTGCATATTGTGGTGGCAGGTCCTGCACCACTATACGTGATTTGTTCCCAGTAACTGTGCTTATACCTTACTAGTTTTGTGTACCCTTTGTGGCTATCTCGTCTCTTTTCTCCAATACAATTTTAGGAACCTGACAAGTCTTTATCCTTGATCTTGTATTGTAGAGCCAACCGTTGCAACCAGGGGTACTGTTAATTTGGAAGATGTAGCTAGGCAGGAATCAGGATCTATGCAGAGGCCAACAGTAAGGCATGTGTTCGAAACTCATATGTTTTTTAACCAAATCATTATATCTTTATACTGGCCTGTTTGGTGGCTCTTTTGTGACTGACAGGTGGTCAATGGAGTAACCTTTCAGCTTTCGCTGATGCATAGGTGGAATCTCACTTTCACAAGTAAAAGAGCTCGCACAAGGGTAAGTGCCATTTTAACTGCTGGATTTCATTACGGTTTCAAGTTGTGACCTGTATGTGATGCCTTTGCAAAGTGGCGGGGAAGTTCCATCCACGCAAAAACTCCGCATGGTTTGGTGCGTCGGCGCAGGATGTTGGGCTTCAAAATGGCCTGCTAAGTTTTAAGCATTAGGAATTCATGGAAGAGTACGAGTTTCAGTGTCTTTGCAGTCGCCAAGAACCCTGTTATTTGAGCTGTATAGATTTGCATGGAAGAGACATTAATCGGGGCAAAGAGTTCAGCAAGAGTTGAACTGAGCAGGCTGTGACGGGTTTGCTTTCTTATTATGCCTCTGTATAAACACTAATCAAACTTATAGTAGTTTGTATATCCCGCCATTGTAATACAGTTTTTAAGCAATTTACTCTCTCACTGGAAACAAGCTCGTTTTGGTCGCAATATCGAAACACGAGAACAAAGTGAGCATTTACTCCAAAAAGGGGCGGTTTCTTTGCCCGTCTTAGTTCTCATTGGACCAGATTAGATTAAATATTAGTCTACTCCATTGTTTGTTTTCTTGCGGGACTAGTGTTAATGAGATTAACTAGGACTCGCTTTCATTCTGCTTGATTCACCTCCTCAACCTCGATTGCGATGGCACATCGCATCATCTTGCTCGATTCACCTCCTCGACCTTGATTTCGACGGCAAAGGCTTCGGGCACAACTTCATCTTAGAAGCCGAACTCGTCAACTACTTCATCTCTGACGATTACCTCGTCGTCTGCGTCATATGGGTCCGCCAGATCTGGGTCCTGGGAAGCCCCAAAAGGCTATGACGGGGTGAGCTGATGAGGATCCAAATATTGTTTTGATTTATGTTTAGTGGGTAATGTTTAATTTTTTATATTTTTGATGATATGATGATTATTTAGCTTAAATTTGAGAGTGGTTTGGTCAATTTTGGATTGCAAAATTGTTTCTTTGCTAAATTCGTCATTGATGTGTGTAGAGCTTTCGTTAATACTGAACCAGAGAGAAAAGGAAGAACTTGAAATTCCCTTTCTGACTCTCATTTGCAATTCTTTTGTTTTTGAGGTTTAAATATATGAGCGTGTGTTATTTCCAGTTCCAAATGAAATCTGTCGGAGTTGAAATATATTTTGATGAAATTGAAATGGTTTATATCTTTGGCTTTTTTTTCTGGATAAAAAAGAAACATGATCTGCAAATTTCAGAGAGAGAGAGAGGTGCAGGGCGATGGAACTCGATTATAGAAAGATAATTTTAGGATTTTGATTTTTGTGTTTTGGTTTTGAATATTTAGAATTGGTTTTATTAGAGAGATGTTTTGATTTCAAATATTTACAATTGAATTTTATTGGAGAGACGAGCTCACAGCTATGGTTTTTCCACGTTCAGTGTTTTATTTGATTCTGAGTTTGAGTTAGACTTTTTGGTTCTGTGCTCGACATTCTACAGAAAGAAGGTGTAATAAATGGTGAGAGAGAGAAAAGGTTGGTATAAAAAAATATCAAATTTCAAAATATATTTAGTCCGCTTGCTAGTCTGGCCCTGCACCAAACGTTTCATTATTTTTATACTGCCTAGTCCATATTAAGCCAATCCAACTTAGTCCCTGAAGCTAGTCTAGTCTGAAATAGTCCGGTGACAAATGCACACAATGCTTCCCGACTCTCATGCATAAAGCTATACTGATCTTGAAAGTCGAAAACTAGTTAGAAATTCTATAAGGAACCCCAACCGACACTTTGCCGCCGGCATATAATCGCGGCGGGATTGCGTCTCAATTATTACATACATTACACACTGTAAACTAAGCTATCGTCCACCTTCTTACTGCGTTTGTAACTAGCAAGGTAGGTGGCAGCGCCGAGGAGGGGAGAAATATCAAAGTCTCTTCCCACCTTTTTTACTTCAAAACCTTCCGAAGGACCATAGCCGCGAAGAATGTGCATAACTTCCTTCATTGAAGGCCGAGTTGAAGGCAGTGTGCTGGTGCAAATGAGTCCTAGTTTTAGTACGGTAGCCATCTCTTCCAGGTAACACGGTTCTGTTATCTCCTCATCGAGGGCACCGGTTATGGTCTTTCCCTCGCTGTATAGCCGCCACGCCCATTCTGCTAGGCCTGTATGCTCATCTCCGCAGTAGGGTTCTCTCCCGGTTGTTAGTTCTAGGAGTACTACCCCGAAGCTGTAGACATCGATCTTTTCATTGATTTTCATTGTATAAGAATACTCTGAAAAACAAATTGTCATACAATGTGTCAAAGTAATGTCCCCAAAATATGAATGCAGCACCAAAATTGGATGCAAAACAGACAAATTTAAGCTCTTACCTGGTGCCATGTAGCCAATGGAGCCTGCGATAGCGGAGATTGTGTGGTGATCCCCCTCCTTGGCCAAGATCTTCGCCAACCCAAAATCCGCGATCCGAGCCTTGAATTCAGAATCCAACAATATATTGCTGGACTTTACATCTCTATGAATTATCGGCGGAGAGCAGTCATGGTGCATGTAGCACAAGCCTTGTGCAGCCCCTATTGCAATCTGCAACCTTGTCGGCCAGTCCAAAACAACATGACGAGCCGTGCCCATGCCTGATGCTAGCTTTCTCCTCTTCCCATGTAGCCACTTATCGAGGCTCTGATTCGCCATGTACTCGTACACAAGAAGCTTCGAATTGTCACTTGAAATGCAGCACAGCAACTTAACAATGTTCGAATGGCGTATTGTTCCTAGTATCTCAACCTCAGCAACGAATTCTTTCTCAAGCCTCTCATCCAATTTGTTGGCGTTCCAAATCCTTTTCACCGCGACAAATTCACCTGGGCAGTTAGTGCTAACCTGATAAACTTTCCCCGATCCCCCACTTCCAATGAGATTGTCATCGGTCAAATTCGCCAGCACGCTGAATTGTGTGAGATCCAATCTCTGGAATGAGGTGAGCTTCCATGTTGACAAGTCCTGACAGCGCTTTCTCCTACGGTAGTCTCTGGCGATGAAAAAGGTAAGTAAAACAGTAACAACAAACACAGTGATCGAAAGGACTAAAATCATGGCAACCACTTTCGAGGACAGCTTGTGGGATGCGCTCATGTTGGTGTAACAACTGGGAAGGTTTAGAATTCGTGTGCTTGCACATAGATTCGGATTGTTCAAGAAACTGTTTTCAAACGCAAGATTATCGAACACATCTGGGATTTTTCCGGAAAGCTTGTTGGAAGACAAGTTGAGAGAAGTGAGCCTCAAGCTGCCAAACTCAGCTGGGATTTCGCCTGTGAATTGGTTCACCGACAAGTCCAAGTAAAGCAGGTCCGGCAAAGAACCAATCGCTGCAGGAATGTAGCCCGAAAGCGTGTTTCCCGAGAGATTCAAAGTATTCAGCGATTCCCATGACATGATCTGAGATGGCAAGTCACCGGAAAGTTGATTTCCATCAAGCAATAGAGTGTTCAGCTGAGAAAGATTAGTCAGTTCAACTGGGATTTTCCCGGAAAACAGATTCCCGCTCGCCTTAAAAACAACCATGCGTTCCCAGGATGAAACTTGAACTGGAATCTCACCGGAAAATCTGTTGTTGCTAATTTCCAGCCTGGACAGATTCCAGGCCAACTTGCTGGCGGGAAGCTGACCCGAAAACGAATTGTCACTCAGCATCAAACTCGACAGACTGAGCCCGGTCCAAACTCCGAAAGGGACCTCACCCGAAAAATGGTTGTTGTAGACCTGCAGAGTCCTCAAAGAGTCACAATTTCCAAGCCCTTTCGGCAACCCTCCGGTAAGATTGTTAGAGAACACAACAGCTCCTTGCAAAACTCCTCTGCTGCACAAATGTTCCGGCAGAGAGCCGCTCAGCTGATTCTCGGAGACCTCGAACGCTTCGACCTCCGAGTGAAGGCCTAATTCCGGCGGCAAGCTCCCGTTTAACATGTTCTTAAAAACCCGAAATTCCCTCATCGCCGGAATTAGGCCTAAACTCTCCGGAATCCCACCGGTTAATCGATTCGAATACAGGTTTAAAACAGTCAAATTCTTCAACTTTCCAAAATCTTGTGGGATCGAGCCGCTCAAATTGTTCATAGCCAGATCAATCTGAGACAAACTCAAAGCCTCTACGGCTTTTGGAATCTCCCCTGAAAATTTGTTGTAAAATAAAAGCAACTCGCTCAAATTCTTCAACAAAAACAACCCAGCTGGAATCTTCCCTTCCAGATTGTTCCTCGCAAGATTCAAGTGCTTGAGGCTCGAAAGACCCGAAAAACTCTCCGGGATCTCTCCGATCAAGTTCGTCTGCGTCATCCACAAGTTTTTCAGATTCTTCAAATTCCCGAACTCCGTTGGGATTCTGGCCGCCGCCAGTTTTCCGTTATAAGGCATTTCGAATATTTCGAGATTCGATAAGTTCCCAATCTCCCTCGGAACACTCCCGTCGAACAGGTTCATATAAAGCCTGATTGTCCTCAGCTCCGTCAGCCGTCCGATCGCCGCCGGAATGTCTCCGGAGAAGTTGTTTCCTCCGAGGTCCAAATACTTTAGAGAAGGCGACATGCGGTCGATGTCGGCCGGAATTGGGCCCACAAAGTAGTTCTGCGAGAGGTCAAGGACTTTGAGATTCGAGCAGTTGTAGAGAAAGCTCGGGAACCCGCCTGGAATGTAATTCCAAGAGAGGTCGAGCTCCGTGAGGCTCAGGAGCTCGCAGAGGGTCGCCGGGATTCTCTTGGTTATGTTCATATTGCGGAGGGAGAGTCCCGTGACCGCGCCGTTCGTGCAGTTGACCTCCGGCCAGTCACACGGTGAGGATGAGGGGTTCCAGGATTGGATGGACGGTGGATTGCCCAACTGTGCCTTGAGCTTGAGGAGGATTGACTGGTCTGTGGATTGTGAAATTACGATCAAGGGTAGGGAGATGAGGACGAAGAGGAGAAGGGAAAGTTGGAGTGGAGGTGGTGTTTTCGACATTTCATGTGGTTCAGTTCGTCTGCTCCGGTTCGGAGATTTTACCGGGAAACGCGGGAGAAGTAACGGCTGCCATTCAAACTTGGTCGATTTGGGATTATATGCGTTTCTGATTGTAAAAGTGCCACCAAAATTTCTCCAAATTACATTGTGCCACTGAAAGTGATGTTGCCATGGCATTTATCGTTTTGTCAACTTTAGAGGTTTATTTTGACACGCATCAACTGGAGCCAATAAAGCACGAGTTTAGGTAGAAAATCGAGAAAAATAAAACTCGTTGGGATTGTTTTGAAAATGACTTAAAGAAAGATTTTAAAGAAAATGTTTTTGGATTTTAAAAACACATGAAGTGCTTCATTCAAGAAACATCAGTTCTTTAACTGTTTTCTAGAGTTTACTTGCATTTTTATTAAAGATTGGTTCCAATAATATTTCACTAAAAACACTTTTAATCATTTTAAAAATATTTCCAAACGAGTCTATAATTATTTAATATGTTTTTGTTTTCATTTTCTTATCTCTGTGTTTAAAGAAAATATGGATTGTTTAACAGTATAAAGCAATAAAAAAATCAAAATCTAGGGGATGCTAATCTATATCCAGTTAGATATAATTATAATCCAAGACTTTGAGGAATATTCTAATTACAAGTGTTTGGTTGAATAGTTTGGTTATCTAATGCAGTTACTAGTAGATAGTGAAACATAGATTACAAAACTTAAAGTCTAATATTAGTGAACTCATGCTAAACTGCCTATGTGGGTTTGTTTGCATGACTGGGGCCTTTGTTTTGGTGTTCTAGAAGCAGATCTTACTAGTCTCTTGGCATGGGCGTGTGCATGTTGTGTGTATGTCAATAGACTTTTTCATTTAAATTTTATGTATTAACCTAAATCATGGTGAAATAAGACATTTAATTTGAAATATATTAGAAATATCGCTTCTTTTACATGCTGAAATAAGACATTCATAATTTAGTTTTTGAAGGGAATCGATATATTATTGATAAAAGCAACTGTTTTACAAGGATAAGTTTTGAAAGAGGATATCTCGTACTACATCAGGAGGATCCTCAAACCATACTGAAGAGCTTTCAATTGATAAACCATCCTTATGGTTTGTTTGGAGGCGTTTTTAAAATGTTTGAAATCGTTTTTATTATCTTCTTATTGCAGAAAGCACTTTAAGTACCTTTTTTTTTTTATTTTTCAAAATTTACTTTGCATTTTTACTAAAGATTAATTTTAAAATATTTTCGATGAAAGCTTTTTCAATCATTTTAAAACACTTTCAAATGAGCTCAGTTGAGCTAAGAGCAAGTCCACCCCTAAAAAAATGGCTGACACTCAGCCCATTTAATCCACTCAATGAACAGTGATAGACCCTATGAACAATAAATGGCAAATGCTTCTCTACCCCTAAAAATTGCGCTGGCGCAAAGTCTAAAAATGCGATGGCACAAATGATCTCCACCCCTACAAAATGCCCTGGCACCCAGCCCATTTAAAATATTAAATAATTATTTTATAACATAATAAGTTTTAATTTCGGATAAGTTTTAATTTCGTCACGCCACGTGTTATTATCCGAACGTGCTATTTTGTGAATAGATTTCCGCTAAGATTTTTAACCAATCCCAACGCACCACGTGTTACTAACTGTTTACAATAATTTAGCCAAAATTTCGATAAGATTTTCAACTAATATCGACACACTAACTTATGAGGTGTACGGTGGAAGATGAGGGGTTAGTTATTTATAGAAAATAATAATTTTTTTTAATTTTTGTATTTTTAACAATTTTAATATATATATATTTTTAATTTTTAATAATTTTAATTTACTTAATTAATCTGGATCGTTGGATTTGAAAAAGATTCAAATCAAACTAGCCTATATGTTAACACGTGCCCAACGGTCATAATTTTGACTGTTGTGCCTTTATTTTTTAAATTTTTGGGTAGAAAAATGTGGACCATTGATCTCTGGATCGGACGGCCTAGATCACGCCATGTCACTAGTTGTTGAATTTCAACTTCAAATTTTTTTTACCGTTGGAAATCCAATGGCCTAGAACAAGCCACGTGGCCTCCCTATTAGATCCCTTAGTGCACATATCTTGCTTTTTCTCGTCGGGGACGTGCGCCCATTCATGCGTGCTTCCCACGCGCCTGGCGCAAAATGAAATTTAAAATGGCATATGATGTCACGCTGGCGTTAGCATGACGTCACATAGGTCAGGCCTTGGCTCAGTACATTTTGGACTGCTTATGGGACAGCTTGGGCTGTTAGTTGGCATATGGATCTGGGCTGGAGGGGATTGGCTAGGTGCTGGGCCATTGGTGCTGGCCTAATGGTCCCCGGTGGACTTGCTCTAATTAGTGAGCCATTACAAACTCGAGGAATGTAAAAACATTGGACATCCTGCAACTTTGAAGCAAGCGTGTGCACATCTTCCACGATCAGAATTTACAGGGAGGAATTAATTTGTCATTTTTGAGAAACTTTTTAGTGTGATGGTCATTAGCTGAGTGGCAATTTTCTTTTCAGCCATAATCCCTGAGCTTGCAAAAAGTGACTGAGGGCATATTTGTGAGGGGTGTGTTATTCATACACTTTTTTTACTTTTCACATACTCTCTTAATTCTCGGTCGTTGGATTGAAATAATTAAAGAATATCAAATGGTAGAAATTAGGGTAAATTACATAAAACTATCTTAACTATTGGGTCATTAACAGTTTCATACCTTGTCTTTAAAAAGTTTCAATGCCATACCTTATCTTTGAATTTGTTGCAATGTCATACCTTTCGTCAGTTGTCTATCAATTCATCTGTTAAATGCTAACGTGGCATGAGATGAGACCTACTTTCTATTTTAAAATTTTTAAAAATTAATTAAAAATTAAAAGATTAAAAAAAGAAAAAAAACCCAATGAAACCTAGATCCCATCACCCCACCCCCGAAACCCCATCCCCTTCATGATCTTCCCCATCCCCCCCCCCCCCAAAAAAAACCTTCCTTCCAAACCCAAAACCCCACCTTCCCCGCATTCTCCCTCCTGAGCCTCCCACCCACCTCCCTCTCCTCCACTCTTTTCACCTTCCCTCCTTCCCCACCCATTCAAACTTGTAAAAAACAAAAAACAAAAAATCATAAACAAATCTGAACCTAGATCGTCGCACCCCACCCAACCTTTCCCTCCCCGAACCACCTCATCCTTCTCGTTGAAGTTGGACCACCTCAATGGTTTTTATTTTTATTTTTTATTTATTTATTTTTATTTTTTTAGTTTTGAATGGGAGAGGAGGTGAAGAGAGTGGAGGAAAGGGAGGTGGGTGGGAGGCTCGGGAGGAAGAAAAGGGGGGGGGGGGTTGCGGGGAAGGTGGGGGTGGGGTTCTGGGTTTGAAAGGGAGGTTTTGGCAGGGGGAGGACGGATGGGAAGATGATGAAGGGGATGGGGTTCAAGGGTGGGGGGTGATGGGATCTAGGTTTTGTTGGGTTTTTTTTTTTATTATTTATTTTTAATTAATTTTTTTAATAAAACATGGGCCCCGCCTCATGCCACGTCAACATTTAACAGAGGAATTGACAGACAACTGACGGAAGGTATGACATTGCAACAAATTCGAAGATAAGGTAAAACATTGAAACTTTTTAAAAACGAGGTATGAAACTGTTAATGACCCAATAGTTGAGGTAATTTTATGTAATTTACCTTATAAATTAATAAGAAGTGTGGATATCACACCCCTATTTGTGAATATGGGAAGATCATGGGCCTTTGCTTTATTGTTTTGTTATCAAGCATTTCTAATTATATTATCCCATTATGTATATTTATTTTTTTAATTAATGATTTTCAATGTCTTCATTTAGATTATTTATTTTTGAATAACATGTTAGCAATAATGTGTACACTAAAATAGAGGGGGTCGGCTTAGCCTCACAACAGACTAACAATAATGTAGTTCAAATTCTCTTAAAATCTCTCACTTTTAAATACCACTAAATCATAATATTATGTGATTGCAATTTTTTTTTTTTAAAAGTCAGTAAGAGTACAAATGGCGCGAACCAGACAATGGTAGGTGAGCAGAAAATTTTGTAGTTGGTAATAATTCGTCTGTATTTATACTAATATCTGTGTATTAAAATCATAATATGGTCTGGTCATTGACTAATATGCATGTTAGTCAAATCCTAATACTTGCTTTTCAAAAGAACTTCATAAAGATTAAAGACTTCGCAACTTTTGAACACACTCATCGGCATTCCACTAGGCCGCCTATATATGCTACTGTTGCATTCAACAGACAGTCAGTCATTTGAGTGGGAAAATCAAAGGACCAATCACTTTAACAAGATGGACTAAAAACATATAAAACTCAAAAGCTTTAGCTTTCGAGTGATACAATAACTGAAATCCGAATTTTTAAGACTCTTAACATGTCTATTAATACCGTATATCAAGCTAATTCTGTACAACATAATAAACAGTGGGTTAGGCGAGTCGGAAGAAAATGATAAAATAATCAGAAAATGTTCTTTTGGCGGCTGATAATGTAGTTTGGGGTTGGTTTAGAAAACCAAATCCCCTACCCATACCCATATCCCCGTACCCCCAGAATAGTCTTAAAGAAACAGCGCTTGAACAAACGGTCGAATTTTTAGCATATACTTTAGAGAAAGAAACATGATGGGCCATCAGCCCTGCATCTAGAAGGAATGATGCACTTATTTGGTTGGTGAGGTAAAGAACAAACATCATGCGCTTCATACAAGTTTCCTTTATATATAACATTTACATATATTAGTTGGTTGCAGCATACATCACCTTCTGGAATCTCTTGCACTCTTGCTAACATTGTTTTATCATAGGTTGATATTGTTTTTTATGGGGAGAATTTAAAATATTAGAATAACCAAAACAATCGTATGCAGAGGTTATTTGACACGTGAAAATTGAGATGGCAAATCGGAAGAATGTCGTTTAAATTATCGCATTTGATAGCTATAAAAGTTTTCGTTTTTATTAACATTTGTCTTCTATAAGATTTCAACTCAGCACTTTCCCTAACAAAACGAAACTACTAAGTAAGTGTTGCTAGACTAGATGATCTTTGTGATGTTATAAAATAATTTGGAATATATTATATATCACGCATGTCTTGAGATCTTAGGCTAGAGCACTTGATATTGGTGCCTAATTTTGTACTCGAATTTGCTGTAATGCTCATGAATAGAAGTCACCACACTGGTGATGCCTCAGATAAGTTTGATAATAGGCACATTCACACATGGTGGAAACTGTGGGTCACGTCTTGATTTCGATCGGGGTGTGTCAAAAACAGTCGGTATAATTCCTACGTTAATCACATATAAAAACAAGAAATTATTAAATAAATTAACTATTTAATGCACACACATATAAAAACAAGAAATTATTTATGCAAATATATAAACTATTTAATGCATACTCATAAAAACACAATGCTAATACACTTGTAAATTGGATTAAAAAACCCGATTTTTTTTTTTTTTGAGAAGAAAAACCTGAAATTATGGTCTAAATGTTTAGACATTTTATCCTTAAGACAAGTTTACGTTCTATTTATGGTACTCATAATTGATCGGCATCTGTCTCTCAGAATACAACAATGATGTTCTTGTAATAGCCTATTTATAGAAATTGAGATACCTCCTTAGAAAGTATGTACCCATTCATGAAAAGCAAAAAATTCCAATTGCTCATATTAGGATCGGCACATCTCTCCACTAAAAAATACCACTTCTAATATTCAATTAATAAAATTTTAATAGATAATAATAATATTAAAATTTCGAAATAGAGATGCAAGTGCCTTAAGTGGGCTTCCGCATTGATTTGTAGATCCCATACAAAATTGCATTGTTTACAATGGTGAGACGGAACTCAAGTGTACTAGTCTACCACTTTTAAAGTTTGAAATGCTTAAGACGAGAGAAGAAGAAAAGCAGAACACCCTTGAAAAAAAGCATATGTGAATGTAGAAAATGAAGGCTGCATAATTAAGTCTCCCATGTACTAAAAATTTAGAAAATAATTGTTATTTTGAACACCAAACATGTTAATATATGGGGTATATACGAGCCTAATGAGATTGTTCTTACAAGTTTCTCAAATTGTATCCACTAACGCTTAAATCAATTGTAACTCGCCAGGGCAAATGTCTGTTTTTTTTTTTTTTTAGCAAAATCCTTTTATCTAATACACATAAGCTATGCTGATATCGAAGCATATGCTAACTTTCGGTTCATTCACTCTTTAAATATGAAGACCTTGTAGGCTTTGAGACCCATATACAGACCATGAATGACAACAGATGCTGCAGCCGAAGAAAGAATCAAGCACAAAAGGCTCAGCAATTGGAGCCCAAACCATCTAATTGTACCTTTCGCAATCTTGTTTTGCACAATGTGCATCTCCACTGGAATGTACACTATGAGTGACCAGTAGCCTAGGGCTCCAAGAAGGCCAAGCATGTCGGAGAAGAATGGCAGAGCTATGGCAAGAAATGAGACCAACACTCCGTAGGCTGTCCTCCATTACAGCCTAAACATGTTATGTTGAACTTTACCTTCCCAAGTCTGATTGGGATCTCCCTGTTTATGTGAACTTGGAATTGGGCCACCTCCTTCTAGCCAATAGTTCAACAATTCAAAACACCCAGTTGACAAAGTACCTGCTCAGATGAAATAACATCCGACCTTACGTTTGACATCTTATGTTATTAGACTATCAATTCAAGCAACCTATTTAGATAATGTTTCACTTAGCTCATGAGGAATAACAACATATGTTATATTTTATACTATAATAGTATGACGCGTTATGCTATCATATTGTTAATTTTGGACTACATATTTAAACAAGATTTTAATCAATAGTCAATAAAACACCGTCAACAGTCACTAACATATAAGTTGCATAAGATTTTTTTTTTCTTATTTTAAATCATACTTTAAACCTAGTGTGGAGAATTCTTATGTTCGTCAGCGGCACTGTTCACACAAAAAGTGGGATCAAATGTAACCAACATGCATGCAAGGGATCCTGTCTTTTGTGTGAGTAGTGCCTTATACGAACTTCCATGAGTAAGAATTTTTTCACAGTTCGATACCCTTCCATTTCGTTCTCATTTTTCATTTTGGTGGGGTGAGGTTTCATATTTTGTGGATGGAGTTACTTACCCGATATGATTTTTGTCATGGAAAGTCCAATTCCGAGAAAGGTATACCCAAAAGACATAATTGCTGCAAGCTTTGGGAGCCAAGAGTGCTTTTGAAAGTTTGGGAGTTGTGATGAGAAAATTTCCACGATTCCAAATCCAATCACATGAGGAATGTAACGAATGTTGGAGAACTTGCATGGGTCATCACCGCCATTTTTGCGATGGCAATTCGATTTTTGTATGGCACTGATTACTCAAATTCATGTAAAGAACTCATATTAGTTATTAGTCTAGTGATATTAATGTTCCGATTTCTCCTCCACAAATAAGGAAAAACTTACATCATGCTCTTTGCCGTAGTTATTGTAAAGCCGACTCCAATGGTAGCAAGATTTAAATATATCGTCCATCCACGTAACTTGTAAATTGTTCCACCTAAAAGGTTAAAGAATAGTAATGGTGGTAGAGTAGAGCATTTCCCAAAAATAATTGGGTAAATTTGCATGAGAGTTTACAAATCATATGATAATTTTACCTAAATAGGCTTTGACAGCCTCCATGCAAGAGTAACTTCTCTTGCCAGTGACTGGGTCTGGAAATCTGTAGCAATCTGCTAAAAGAGTGGCAGCATAAAGTGCACCAAATGTGCAAAACAAGAGAATGGAAATGCAACCAAGCCAGCCAAGTTGAGCCATTGGCCCATGCCAGAGAGAGCACTCCAGCACCTACTGATGTTGTGATTATGTGCGCACACGCACTCCACACAGTCCCTGCAAATATTTCACCTAAAAAGAAGATTAATATCTTTTGATAAACCTATATTTCTAACCTACTCTAATCAACGGAAAGAAAAATTTAAACTTGGGTGCAATTGTATAATGCAAGCCGACCAATAGTGCTCTAACCTAATCCATGTATTAATACACATTCCAAAGGCGAGTTATTTAATTTTGATTTTCAAATTGTTAAATTCAAACAAAAAGTCCAAACAAAACCAGAATCTGACTATTATAGTTGTATCCAAAGGAAGTTTGTTGCATTGATGGCTATATTTCAGTTGAGCGAGAAAAAAAATGAGTGTATTATTGATTCTCCAAGGTTTTTTTTACCATTTTTTTCTTCAAAAAATAAATTCAAGACATACTTGAAATTGCATATCTGAAAACAATATCTTTAAATCAAAATGGTGTGAGTTTCATTATAAGTTTAATACTTCATGTAAATGTTTAAAACAAATGCAATTTTTCTCTTAAAAAACAAGGAAAAATGCAATTTTTTGTCAGCAAAATGATGCAATAATCTAAACTTCAAAAAAATAAAAAAAATAAAAAAAAATCTGCACTGTTTCTTGTAGTTCTGATTTCAATAGAGTTCTTATATAATTGCCAGTTTCCACCCAGTCCTCCTCAGCCCAAAGATTGAAAGGGAAAAAAAATGTAGAGAAATTATATTAAAGGAGAAAAGATATCAATTTTATAAAAGGGATTAACTGAAAAATTGAAAAAAAAATGAATGTAAGCGAAGTAAATAGAGAAAAAGAGATTAAAAAAATGGCAGAGAGGAGCATACCAGTCTTTTCGATTTTCTGTCATCGTCTACATCTCTTTCTTCCACATTTTCTGGAGGATTGAGACCAGTTTCACATAATTCATTCTGAAATTCATGATCAATCACACTAAGGATTCTCTTCCTGTTTCAGTTTTTGGTAAATGAGTATATTACAAATGCAATTGTATCAGATGAGAGGAGACTACAAACCCCTCTCTCAAAAAATGGTGCAGTACATTAATACTGTCTTAATTGTGCATGGCTTCTTCTGTACAAGTGATACTTCAAACTCCTCCAATCGATTGAAAAAAGAATTTGAACTCGAATGAAAGGGCGAGCACACTAGGCATTCTTTTGTGGACAGATGCAAAGTCCTTTAAATTTTAAGAGCTGAGGTGGCATCAATGCATCATGTTTTGAATTTGACTAAGTATTAATTGACTACCAAATTTTGCATGGTGTGAATCATAAATTCATATCCTTCTTGGAGGCTAGATGGAGGGAGGCGTTATATTAACGCTGAGCCTTATCATGGACGCATGTAATGTAATTAGGAAAGACCAATATAAATGTGCATACGAATTTTCACCATCTACTAAATATAGATCAAATTTTTTTTTTTTTGGTCAAACAATAAATCTTGCTAGATTAGATGTTAGATTAGTTACCGGTAAGGTTTGAACCCACGCCGACCGTCATGCAATGACTCAACTTCTCTCCATCACTGTAGTAAAGGGCCATTGCATACTAGTACAAAAAACACTTTGCGCAACGCAGGTCCTTCGTCGCGCAAAGTCAAAAAACGTCGCGCAACACTTTGCCCAACGAACCTTCGTTGCGCACAAACCGTCGCGGAAAGGCAGTGACAAAAGGCTTTGCGCGATGCAAGTAACCCCATCGTCGCGCAAAGACACTTTGCGCGACGTATTTTGCGCGACTCAACATCCGTCGCGCAAGTTTCTTTGCACGACACATGTAAAGGCTTCGACTCAACCTACGTCACCCAAGATCCTTGCGCGACGTATTTTGCGCGACTTAACCTACGTCACTCAGGATCTTGCGCGACGTATTTTGCGCGACCCAACCTACGTCACTTAAGATCCTTGTGCGACGTAGACTATAGTCGCTCAAAGTGTCTTTGCGCAACGCATGTTCCCAAGTTGTGCAAAGATACTTTGCGCGACGCAGTCTACGTCACGCAAAGATACTTTGCGCAACTTGGGAACATGCTTTGCACGATGTATTGTATGTCGCGCAAAGTGGAAATTTGGTTTTGGTAAAAAATATTACTTTCTTAATTTTTAATAATATTGTAATTAAATTCTAAATAATAATTAATTAACCAAAGAAAAGTATTTAATTATACAATATATGAAAATGTACATACAAGATGTCCAAATAAAAAAGAAAAAACTACAAGTAATCTTCTAGGTGAAGTGGCTACTGGGTATCGGCAGGGTGAAGTGGCTCGGAGGTTGAAGGTGTAGCAAGATCAGGTACTGGTAGTGAGATTTGGAGGCCGGTCATCTGTATGGCTCGTATAAGATCTCTCATCTGTCCGTCATAAGTATGCAGCTGCTCGCCCTGGGCCCTTATCTGCTCCTTCATCTGCTCACCCTGGGCCCTCATCTGCTCGCCCTGGACCTTAAGCTGACCCTTTAGGGTTATCACTTCCTCCTTCAATGAATCGACCTCTGTGGTGTTTAATCTGGAAGAAGAGGCACCAGTCTCACGAAGTCGTGCTTTCCCCATGCACCGAACAACCTTGCCGTGACGATGACCGAAGTTCTGATCTAGGACATCAGTCAAAATCTGAAAACCTGCATCATCAGGTACTGTGACGTCCTCAATTGGGGTCTCCGGGGGAAGTTGCGATGTTGCTTCTTGGAGAACTGTAATGCTCTTTTACCTGACGTCGTGTTTGAAGCCTATATGAAAAGGGCTTTGAACCAGAATGGTGGAGAAGTGTCTTTGACTCCTGAGCTATCTTGCCAGCAACAGATTTCTTCTGTTAAACACACAATATACATGTTAATGCGACTATTTAAAATAAATTAATAAAAAAGCTTTAAAAAATAACTAAAACAATAATAAATTATTATTCAAATATTATGTACATACCACAAATTTTGGGTCCGTAAAATGTTTGCAAAGCCATTTCCAATCCTCTGGCCGGTCCTTCAACTCGCTTGGGCAACCATGTAGGCGAGCAATCTCTGGAGTATCCCATAGCTTAAAATGTGTGTGAAGATAGTTCTTCCAATGTTTGTACCGGATTGCTAAGGTCTCATCTAAGTAGGCCTTGACCTCGGGAAATATATCATCAAGATCGAAAATTACCTACGAATATGAAAAACAATAAAATAATAGTAAGAAATATAATAATATTAAGATAATATATTTTGGTTTTTAATATTTGTAAACAAAACTAAAAAAATGATATTGAATCCGAATTTGTTTATTTAGATGACGAAAAGAATGCAAGAATCGGAAAAATAATTTATGAACCCAATGACATTCATGAACAAGCAACTCAGACATGGCATAAAGTACAAGATTATAATAAACACGAATCGATAAGATTAGCTTATGAATTTGAAAAAGAAACAGAAGAGGTAATTTCAAAAATTGATGAAATAGATCAAAATGAATTAAATAACGAGATACAAGAGTTGGATGATTTAATTTCATTACTAGATTCGATACATACCTAAGTAATCCAGTGAGTCAAAATGAATATACAGAACATCAAGAAGAACAATATTTTTATGCAGAGGGAGAAAGATGAGTCTTAAAAATCAAATTCGGATTCAATATATGGGAAAGATGGAAAGAGGGAAAGAGGGAAAGAAAAAGGGAAAAAGGGAAGAAGGGAAAGAGGGAAAGAGGGAAAGAAAAAGGGAAAAAGGGAAGAAGGAAAGAGGTTTATACGGGAGGGAAAGAGGGAAAGAAAGAGGGAAAATCAAGTGGTCTATTAATTATATTACGGGAAGGAGGGAAAGATGAGTCTTAAAAATCAAATTCAGATTCAATATATGGGAAAGAGGGAAAGAGGGAAAGAAAAAGGGAAAAAGGGAAGAAGGAAAGAGGTTTATACGGGAGGGAAAGAGGGAAAGAAAGCGGGAAAATCAAGTGGTCTATTAATTATATTAAGTGGTCTATTAGATTAAGAGGGAAAGAGGGAAAGAGGGAAAGAAAAAGGGAAAAAGGGAAGAAGGAAAGAGGTTTATATGGGAGGGAAAGAGGGAAAGAAAGAGGGAAAATCAAGTGGTCTATTAGATTAAGAGGGAAAGAGGGAAAGAGGGAAAGAAAAAGGGAAAAAGGGAAGAAGGAAAGAGGTTTATACGGGAGGGAAAGAGGGAAAGAAAGAGGGAAAATCAAGTGGTCTATTAATTATATTACGGGAAGGAGGGAAAGATGAGTCTTAAAAATCAAATTCGGATTCAATATATGGGAAAGAGGGAAAGAGGGAAAGAGGGAAAGAAAAAGGGAAAAAGGGAAGAAGGAAAGAGGTTTATACGGGAGGGAAAGAGGGAAAGAAAGAGGGAAAATCAAGTGGTCTATTAATTATATTAAGTGGTCTATTAGATTAAGAGGGAAAGAGGGAAAGAGGGAAAGAAAAAGGGAAAAAGGGAAGAAGGAAAGATGTTTATACGGGAGGGAAAGAGGGAAAGAAAGAGGGAAAATCAAGTGGTCTATTAATTATATTACGGGAAGGAGGGAAAGATGAGTCTTAAAAATCAAATTCGGATTCAATATATGGGAAAGAGGGAAAGAGGGAAAGAGGGAAAGAGGGAAAGAAAAAGGGAAAAAGGGAAGAAGGGCTCACACAATCATCCATGTGGTGACAAATGCTTCATGTCCGGTTATAGTTGTCAAGGGCTCACACAATCATCCAAACCATAAAAGCTCAAAGAAGCTATCTTTCAAATGATAACTGGTACTTTGAATTATAATGTGTTGAAATTAAAGGAATCAGGCCTTGGGTATATTGTGGGTTTTCCATTTGTTTTTTCTTTTTCTAATTAGAAGAGGGTGATAAGTCACCTTCCATTCAAAGATATATTTTATGTCATGGGTTCCAATTGAGCCTAAGAAGAATGTTCGTCCGGCTGCAAGACGTAAAAGAAAGCGCTACTTGGGAGGC